ACCCTCCAATTATTATGATGACCCCTATCATTGAAGCATGATGGTCAATAACAGATGGAGGATCAGGTCAACAGGTTTCACTAATGACCACTCATTATTAATGCATAGATTTACCATTGAGGATGTGAACAATCATAGATGGAACTAATTTTCCATTTTCCAGATCATCAGTAGTGCTGAAAACTTGTTTGTTTTGTTTGTTTTTTGTTTAACACTACACTCGGCAATATCCCAGCTATACGTTGGCTGCCTGAAGCTAATCATGTCTGGATCAAGCAATCCACTGGACCAGTGATCAATGTCATATGCAATGACTCATACAGTTAGGGTACCTGATTACGGAAAATAACGCTTTCTCGTTTGAAATGAGGTTATTCGAAATTAAGCCCAGGGCTCAATTTCAGAAGCGCTAACGCTTGCTTAACTAAATAGGGGGTTATCTTCGCTGAAAAAATCAGAAACTGTTAAGTTGTTTTAACTCAGAAAATATATAATATGAACTTTAACTTTAAACCGAAAATAACTTCATAAAATGCAAACTTGAGCGTGCACTTGTTGAATGCACATTAAGAATTGCATCGCCACGTATTAACTTTCAAGTTATGAATTTAAGGAAGATCACTCCAAAATAAATATCCAACTTGAATTTCATGGGCCTACATATGGAATTATTTCGGTTTTTAGGCCCATGAGTGTAATTACGTAAGAGCCTCAATACGGGAAGTCCCAATATGATGAGACACAATCAACCAAGTCAACAAGCCTCACCACCCAATTTATCCTATCCAGAATTTGCATTTTTAAAGTCAATGTTTTGTTATAATCAGTGTAAGATGCAATCTGGGATTGGTAAACCAGTGTTTGATGGCATGAGAAACATTCCCTACCACCTAGACATGATGACACACAATTAGACAGGTTACACATTGCCACCACTCAATCCTCTACAGTGAACTAATGTTGTTTGTTCTTTAACGCCGCACTCAGCAATATTCCAGCTATATGACGGCAATCTGTAAATAATCGAGTCTGGACCAGACAATCCAGTGATTGACATCATGAGCAACGATCCACGCAATTGGGATACAGTGACATGCATCAAACAAGTCAGCGAGTCTGACCACTCGATCCCGTTCGTCACCTTTAATGAAAGCATAGTCGCCTTTTACGGCAAGCATGGGTTGCTGAAGACCTCTTCTACCCCGGATCTTCCCGTGAACTAATGGCTACCATAATAAGCATGGAGTAATGAGAACGTATTCGGTCCCTGAATCTCCACAGGGGGTGCCAGGACTCAAGTACTATTGCAGAAAACCTCAACAAACTCCACCTTCATCCTGATGAACATGATAATTTCTAACATTACCGTATTTGACTTGATAAGCGCCCGGCTCTAATAAGCACCCACGGCGATATTTGCTATTAATATATTGGCTAGTGAACAATCCAATTAAGCACCCCTTCCAAATGATCAATGTACACTTATTCATTCGTGTATAATACGCACCTAGTGTGTCATATGCACCCTTAATTATGGGCAATTAAATTCTGGAAAATATATCTGTCGTGTATAATACGCCAGACTTTTCTTCTTTTATCATTTCAAGCTGTCAACATAAACCACAAAATTTACGATCTTTCAACTCTGGGTTTTTTTCACCAAAATTATATTCTAATAAGAGACCCCTGTTTCTAATTTTGAGAGCGCCCTGGGCGCTTATTACGTCGAATACGGTATTTCAAATTGTTATCATGGAGATCAGCTGAATTGTCTTCACCCAAACAGCAATCCATATCCAATATTTGTGTTGTCCTATTATTAATCTTAATAACATTAACAGGCCATTCTTCCATCAATGATAATGACAGTGATTGTTTCTGGAACATGTTGTCACTTCCAGGGAACGACAAGGCAACTAGTCCATTAGTCTGAGACTATACAGTCCGTAGCTGATGTGTTCATGAATCATGATCATGATAAAACAGACATGTCAACAGATTGGCAGCCTCCAACATCAGGATGGTGTGTCAGAAGTAACTGAAGCAGTCATAACCACCACACAGCTGAGTGGCAAGGCTTGTTTCTGTATACTAGCAGTATCCACACTGAACACACAAACATACGTCAACTCGTTTTACAACACGGCCACCTATTATGCTTACATGGCACTTCAAAATGTTCTATAGAAGAAAGTGATGCAACAATATTGACTTTGTTTACTTGTTGCTTAATGCCGTACTCCGCAATATTACAGCTACAGTCAAACACAGGTATGTCGAATTCTGATGTGTCAAACTTATGGTTGTCTCAAACTAAAAGCTGGGTCCCTGAGCATTCCTTCTATATTCATCATTTTCGGTTGTGTCGAACCTCGGATATCTCAAAGCAGGTCCCTTCAACTTAGACACAACGGCATATGACTGAATATTTCAGTGGTCAGTAAATAATCGAATCTGGACCAGACAATCCATTTTAGTTGCCTCTTTCGACAAGCATAGGCTGCTGGGACTTCCTACCCAGAATCCCCACAGGTCAACACTATTGTGTCGTGAGTCAGACCAAAAGTGACCATACCCATCAGTGGTGAAGCCCTGGAAATCTAAACCCAAACTTGTCCCTTGGCATTATTCTCAGTATAGTGTATTCTGAACAAGCTGAATGTGTGTACGTTATTATCTGATTATCTGTGCACTCTGGCTTGCAAGACATATTGTGAAACAAAAAGTAAATTATTTTTATTATTATAAACAAATAATAACTTTGAATTTCTGATTAATGGCTGCGATATTGTATGACAAATACTTGTATGCAACATGATGCAAGACATATTGTGAAACAAAAAGTGAATTATTTTTATTGTTCTAAACAAATAATGACTTTGAATTTCAGATTACCATGATTACAGCAGAAATTATGTGTCGACAAAAAAATAAAATCTATGATTAACTAAATTACACCATAATGTACTACATTCAACTAACAGCTGACTAAAACATAAATAAACAATGATTCATTTTTATCAATATATTCAAGTTGTAATAGCATTATGTGAATTTTAGACACCGTGCCCCACTATTGTTCATGACAAAAATAAAAAAGGTTGAAAGGGGTAGAAATATCAAAATTATGAACTTGTCCCTGGACTAGTTCAAACAGTAATTCAATTCTCCAGAGACAGCCTATTGTCCGGAGGGCACGGGTGGCCCAGTCGTCTAAGGCACCACAATTCTCTGTGAAGAGGTGCGTCTCTTGGGCATGCCAGAAACCTATGATTGTGGGTTCAAATCCTGGTTCACCACGATTATGTTTCCAGGTTTGTCAGCACAATACCCATGCTCGTGGGTTTCACAGAAGTGGTAAACGTCTGAGACCTGCATCACTTCCGGCTTTCCTCTGACATTAAGCTGACATGCTGTGATATAACTGGAATAATGTTAAAAGCGGCGTTAAACCTAACTCACTCACTCTATTGTCCAGATTATGACCAATATTGATGGTTTTATAACAAAACCATCTATTTTTGGGTTATAATCAAACGAAATCCAAACGTTTTGTGCAGCCAGTGTGACCTTCCATGACTTCTTTCAAATGTTGCACAATGTGGCTACATGGTATGCCGGTCAACCAATCAGAGAGCATTTCCTAAAGTGTGATCGAAATCAGAACAAGGAAATAAATACTGCACAAAAGTGAGTTGGGTTGGTCATAGTCTTGATGTTTACGCTTTTTTAAAACCATATTTAGTACCAGTTACTAATAAGTGTTTGAAAGGCATTTAGAATTGATACACATGTGGAAGAGAATTTATGGATGTCAACTTCAAATACTTTAAATTATTGACATCCATAAATTCTCTTCCTTAGTTACGAATAGTTCACCAACATTTACAAAAGGCCTTCTAAATTTTAAGGTTGCCAAATGAAGTTCTTATTTTTGTCCAGTGATCTCAAAAAAAGAGTCAGGCATTGGTCTTCTACATCCCTGAAATGTCTACTGCAAAAATGCACATCATGTTAATTGTCTCATAACCGAAGTAATCTCATTCAATTAAGTTCAACTTCATTAATGATCATTGCAAGATAGTAGTCTCATTCAAATACAATCAACATGTTGCACTCTTGATTTCAATCATAAAATACAAATCCACAAAAATAGCATATAAAAAGAGACAATTCGCCATGGTCTGGTTCCCTTTCCAGCCTAGGTCGAGACATACAAATAAATGCCTCATGCGAATATCATTAGACATTGTCTCCATATCAATAGGGTCAGCATAAAGATAACCTTTTTTAAAGGATGTTGAAATACACAATATAACTTCACTTGTCTGCATTGTCAGATGGGACTTCATACTAGTTCACAACTTGAATGTATTACAACATGTATTACCCATCTGCAACAGTTGTTGAAGCAAACATACCAATTGCATCTGACACTTGCCATCAGTGACATTGACATTGACAATTCCAAAATGGAAGTCATAATACCATTTCTTATAAAAATTCTTGGTAATATCATGGTAATATTAAACCAAACATTTTTTTTATGTTAACATCATTACGTTCTCAATTGAAAATCACATGCATAATATTTTGAATTCAGACAGTCAAAAGAGATGATAAAGCATTGGCAAATGCATTTTATAATTTGGATTTTCATAATGTCTTATCATAGATGTCTATGACGAGAGCATAACAACAGTCGGTTTTGACCACTGCACAAGCCCACAATGAGTCATCACCACTGAACATGGCTCCTTCAACATGTTTGACGTATTAAGTCCAATAAAACCACAAACATTGTTACCTACAACCAGGGAACAAATAAAATGTTATGCATGTAAATAAACAACTGCAACGCACGTGAAGGGACAACACCCCTTTCTCATTAAAGCCGAAACATTAGAAAGGATGATAGGAGATGAACAGGAGCTTCCTGCTAAACTCGCATATCTTAATGAAACAGGGTATGACACTATTGCATACGTTTTGATTCTTACCTGATGTAACGCTTCCTGCTTCAAACCTGAAGCTCTGAACAGTTCTAAAGCTTTGATTCCACTTATTTTCCCAGAAACATCACTATCACAGGTTTGAAATAATTCTCCATAAAATCGCTGCTCTTGATCACTGAGCTTCAGGCCCTCCATCTTACATCTCTTGCACGTCTTATGTGGACATACGAATAATTTTATGTATTCTGCAACTAATCCTCCAGAAAGACAGTTTTTGCATAGTTCTGATTGTCCAAATATGACATTCACTTTAACACGATGGATAACTGGGGAAATCTGTCACAGTCGACTCCATCTTTAATTGATTTCTCGGGCAATGCCACACGCGATGTCCTCACTAAAATATCTCAGATATAATCCAACTGTCATCGTTCTTAAAAGTATCATTCAACATCTATAATTGATATATGTTTTGTAGATGGTTAAGTTTAACCGAAAGCAGATTCAAATCCTAATATCATCAAATACAAGTATCTGCCATTTTGGAGTAAACAATTTACACAGAGTACATCGCGTTTCACATGGATTAATTTGGGTTAATTTCAGATAATTATTTCACTTAATATATCCTCAAAACATAATACATTCCAAAAGATGCTAGCAATTTGTGTATAATGGTGATTCGCAATAGTTCGAGAAAAAGCTTTCCGTGAAATAGCTTTCTTCGCCGGCAAATTATACAAACTACTTTCCTTCAACGGGTTTCATTTGTATTCTGCATAAGCGACAGCAGGTGCACGTTCATTCAAATTCGCTTAAAATAAACCTTAATGTTCACAATCACTCGGTTGTATTTTGAATTAAGAAAGGACATATCTTTCTTATTTTGTTTAAAACAGAAATTTGAGGGCATATTAGTGCATAATTATCAAAACCGTCAATTGGAAAATAAGTGTATACTGGTACTTATATTTCCAAACACATACGTACTTTTAACACATTCAATCTAATTATCTTTATCACTGGTCCTAGTCCAGATCGCTATGTGTACGTACAATACAGTACAGTAAGTTCCATGTACAGTATTCTGTCTACAGTTTATATCATTTATGTTGATAATAGTATTGAAAGTTTTGACAGAATGTTGTATCTAAGTGTTTTCCGTCCCTCGCGAGCCGCTTTGCAATGACTCAGTCTGTGATCTGAGACATGGTTGAGATGTTGCAATCGAGTGTGAAACCTCCCTCAGAGTGAGTTGTGTTTTACGCTGCTTTTAGCAATATTCCAGTAATAACACGGCGGGGGGCACCAGAAATGGACTTCACACATTGTACCCACGTGGGGAATCAAACCCGGGTCTTCAGGAGACGAGCGCCATTCCCTACAACCAATATGTTTGACAGTTATCGATATCTAGATATGGTCTCTGATATAACTGAACATTTCAGTCAATTTTTAAAGTGCTTGAGTCATTCAACCTCAATGCAAAATACCTGAAAATGTCATATACCTATCTGACAGGTTTACCACAGGTTTCCCAGTCGTCTAAGGCGCCGCGATTCGCTGTGCAGTGCAGAGTTGCGTCCCTCGAGCACGCCAGAAACCTATGATTGTGGGTTCGAATCCCGGTTCGCCCCGATTATGTTTCTAGGTTTGTCAGCACCATGGGTTTCACAGAAGTGGTAAATGTCTGAGACCTGCATCACTTCAGGCTTTCCTGAGCTGACACGCCGTGATATAACTGGAATACTGTTAAAAGCGGCGTTAAACCCTACTCACTCACTCTTAATTTGGAACCGCGTTTTACTTCGAATCATTGCTCCATTGTTCGGGAAACTGACGGTCTGGGCATCACATACATATGATACAGCCAATACTTAAGTTGTGTCAATTTGTAAAGTTACTTTAAAGTCCATTAACTCACAATCGAAATAGTTTATTTATTCATTTTAACAGTGATTGATTCCACCAGTGAGTGAGTTATTTTGGTTTAACGCCACTATATTTATACTTATATCACAGTGTGTCAGTTCGATGTTAGGGACGGTCGGGTAGCCTAGTGGTTAAAACGTTCGCTCGTCACGCCGAAGACCCGGGTTCGATTCCCGACATGGGTACAATGTGTGAATATTCGTGATATTGCTGGAATATTGCTAAAAGCGGCGTAAAACCATACTCACTCACTCACTCAGTCCGATGTTTGAGGAAAGCCCGAAGTGATGCATTTCTTGGATGTTTACCACTTCGGTGAAACCCACGACCACAGGTATGGGCGCTGACAAACCTTGAAACATAATCGGGGCGAACTGGATTCAAACCCGGTCATAGGTTTTCGGCACGCCCGATAAACGTAAGTCTGTAACACCTATATGTGAGGATCATAATTAGTAAACTATTTCGGAAGTCAATAAACGTATAAACGTTTAACATAACACGATGAATTTAAACCAGTTTTCCACAGATAACATAAACAAACATTGTAAACGGAAAGACATTGTGAATCGTGTTTAAGTTTTCTAATACATAGTTATTTGCAAATTATGTTTTGGAATCTATCTGTATCCGATTCTAGAATTGTTGAAATTTATTTTTGAAATGTTTTTGTTTCAAACGTGATATTTCAATACCAAAATGTTCATCCAAGGGAGTAGAAAACAGACACTATTGTTCTCTTTAAGACATCATTCATACACACTAGCCTCCATGAACCCAGTTCATCTTGTAGATATAGGGAATGTACAGCTATATTTATATTCATTTTAACTTGTGTTGTAACTAAATTGAAAGATTGCTTGCTTTGCTTGAATACAAACTGGGTGTATGATGAAAATCTAAAACCGCTTTCTTATCTGAGATCTCTTTGATACACATTTTCAATTTGGAAGAACAGGAATACATGAACTTTTTATGGATAGCAACTTTTTTTTATTCTTTGTGATATAAACTCTGTGCATTTTCTCAGCATTCACCCGATGAAGGAACAAGAAAAAGTTCTGAAACGTCTTGACAAAGAAGTTGTTTTCCATAAAAAGTTTCACGTATTCATGCTATCTTCTCTGCTGAACAACAGTCGTAAATTGGTCAACCGACAGACGACTTGTTAAGGAAAACAAGATATAACTAGTTGTAAGGGAAATACCATCTCACCCACAGCCTGAGCTCGCACAATTTGGCGCGAGTTGCCTCATGTGTGTGGTACAACATATAATCAACGAACTGTTTATATAAATATTAGTCAAAATGACAGACAAGGATGCAGGTATGTTATTATTGCAACATAATAATCGTCTGTATTATTTGACCCAAGGAGGAATGGGTATTTATTTCAGAAATTGTACACCGGCGGCAATTTTGTTTATTTTCCCTTTCTTTTGTATCATGGCGGGTTTATTGGGTTATTTCGTTTTGTCGGGTTACTTCCTACTTGTGAGATCGAAAATCTAACCTCGCTGTGTGCAGTGTTTTTTTTATTTGAGAGATGTGCATGATTGGGATGCCCAGTAGTTTGGGGGTTTCGCAGAACACGCATACGTTCATCGAAAGTGCTGCTTCAAAGAACCCGGCCCAATTCTGTCCAAGCACAAGACTTTGCATGGTCAGCATTGTAGGGATTGATCAACACGGTGTTGCTGATGACGTTTAGTTTAGGCACACCAACGAAACTATTTTGCAAGAGTTTTTGGTCTTGTTTATGGCTTCGTCCAGTTCACATACTTAGTCAAGCACACAAACAAAATCAAGTGATCAGTTCAAAAACCCACACAGGCTTCTGATAAGCCTACTATGTCACACTCAGTATTTAGAGTTTTCTCATTCTTATTTTCTAGCATAGCACCCCATGCCATTCTAGGTATTTTGCCAGTGACTTACTTAGCGCAGCTCATGGCCAATATTTTGGTCCAAAGTCAGCAGCAATTGTCAGTAAAACTTACCAAATGGGAAATATATAAGTTCACGACTGGCAGGGATAATTCTAGGGTGGGGCCTTGTGCATTTAGCCCCCAAATTTGAAATTAAGGCCAACATTTTCAAATACAATGGGGCATTTTAATGTTGTGCTGTATGGGCAAGTGTGGGTGTACCTCTGGAATATTTGAAATTTTCACATAAAGGGCCCATGTCAGAAAATTCTTAGAGTGAACCATTGACTAGTCATGTCCATATAGTCGTAACTAGGTTATGGTTTGGTGGGTGTGACCTGTGTTTTACTTATAAAAAGGTCAGTAAAGAGGAAGGGGCATTAATGCTTATGTTTAAATCGTTGCAATGTTGAAGTACCTCTGAAATTAAGACCTCCACATTTTGAACAAAATCATGAAAATAGCACCTTTTCAAACTATGCCTGCCAAGGTCACTTAGCTTGAAATCCCAGATAAAAATTGCTTATAGAAAGTCATTGTAGCATTTTAGGTCCTGTACTTCTATTCTTGTTGTAGTGCTGAGATTCCAGCACAACTTCCTTTTAACCAAGTCTTGTCGTAAGCTACATCGGCTGGGATTGGTTTGTTGCATAATTGTAATAGGTTATGGCTGAAATGACACTGAGTGAACATGGCCAATGAATAAAGCACACTACTACATAAATCGTGTTTATAATTATGATACTGATAATTATAATCAGTAGCCGTTTTCACCCGGTGAAAAAGGTGACATTTTGATGAGGTGCCATTTTAGCTTGGATCCATTGTAATAAGTGACATGGCTGATTGTGTCATTATTTTCAGATTTTAATAATTCAAAGGGGAAATCTAGAAAGTGATTCGATCATCGCCAAGGACTAGGATGAATGTATTGTTTGATAGAACGGGCAATCAAGACTAGAGTAGCTGCATCAGCTTTCACTGTTTGCTGTTATTAGTGTTATTAACTGAAACATGAACAATGAAAGTTTGAAAGACCTCATTAATGTTTGATTTGTGTGTGGAACATGCCCTTTACATTCTCATTTGTTTCAGAAGGCTTTGACGATGCAGTGGAAGAACGAGTCATCAATGAAGAATATAAAATATGGAAGAAAAACACACCATTCTTGTACGACCTTGTCATGACACATGCCTTGGAGTGGCCCAGTCTCACAGCACAATGGCTTCCCGATGTTACCAGGTTCGGGAGATAGAACTCGCATATTATTCAGATGATATTTTCTAAAACCCTAGACCGTAACTGTCACTCTTTCTACACTGCATCATGCTTATTCTACTTGCCACTCGGGCGGTCGGGTAGCCTAGTGGTTAATGCGTTCACTCGTCACGCCGAAGACCCGGGTTCGATTCCCGACATCGGTACTATGTGTGAAGCCCATTTCTGGTGTTCCCCGCCGTGATATTGCTGGAATATTGCTAAAAGCGGCGTTAAACCATACTCACTCACTACTTGCCACTCCATTGACAGTTGCTCACATACTTACATATTATGCAGTATGTATACACTGTTGAAAACAAATGTCAAATTTATTTTCTTGATGTACTTTTCAAGTCATGGTATCCAAATCCATTATGGTAGTTGTTTTTCCATATTCCCACGATTTGGAGTTTTGGGTTTAATATCATTGATCGTGATCAATTGGGTTGATCTCTTGAAAATGGGGATTCTCAATTCTGAAGGAAATTAAGCCGCACATGGTTACCTCCCTTAAACACGTGCACGGCTTGTTCCCAGTTCCAAGAGATTTGTCCTCTTGATCATGTTGATAATGATTTTTTTCTAAACCAAGTTACACGTAAAGTTGGCAAGTTTAATCAGCCTTACTATACTCCTTAAGCATTTGAGATTCTAATATGAGTCTTTTAACAATATTGAACATCTCCCCTTAGGTGGAACAACCAACACTTCTTGGAGATGTTTGGAAATTTCCCTTTTTTAAGTCCGGAGATTACTTTTGCTTTTGTTTCAGTGTGAAATAATTACAATTACCATAAATATATCTGTTTGGCTTTCTTCACGCATGATTACACTGAAAGCAGAAAGGGCATAAGATGTGTAAGTTCAGGTCTGAAATGCTCTGATTGATTCCAACACCGAGTTATGGAAATTGACCCTCGAAAAGCTGCATCAACATGAGGTCAATCTGGCTGTTGGTGAATCTGACATCTTGAAATCATGTTTGTAATATTTTTTGTTTCAGACCAGAAGGGAAGGATTATTCACTGCACAGATTAATTCTTGGCACACACACGTAAGCGGAATGTTTATTAGAGCCTAGGAATTTCAGTTCAAAACTGTATAGAACCTAGGCTTGCTTCTGGATTATCTCCCCTTGTATCTGAGGATGTCATGGTTACAAAGGTACATACCAAGCCATCGCCACATGACGGCCTGGTTCCCGACAAACCAAATATTAATATTCATGATATTTTGTGAATGAGAACTGGCACAAATATTACCCATGTATCAAAATTAAACTTGTAGGCACATAAATCCACAGTTAAAGTTGAATAACCAACCATTTAAGCTTATGCAGCGTTATAAATAGGCACTTGCAAAACTGCCCAATAGTTGAGATATCATCAGGACTAGTAGAAATTTGCCACTAAGGGTTTTGCAATGTTTTTGTCTCTGTGATGAATACGAAAATGTCATGTGTAGTAAAACATACAAGTTGAGCACAATACCGAAAGCATTTTTGATTGCGACCATTCTAGTCCTCATGGCTATGTTAAAATGCTTCCATAATACTTTGTTAACTAAGTAATGCACCATGGGAACTGATCTAATTGCCAACTCTTATACGCTTATGTTCGTATGTATTTGTTGAGACTATAAGGCAAATGATATTTGAATCGCTTGGTCTCCTGACCCATGTTATGACTGGAATAATGGTAAATGCAGCTTTTAACCACACTTGTGTTGTCAACAAATGATTTTGGTGTTGGCCCTCTGGACTCCCACGAAAGACAAATGGGGTTCCTGAGGGCCAGATATTGGTCAGTGCCACAAACGCCTACATTTGGTTTTCGACATTTTGATTCTGAACAAGTTGCTTGAAATCTCCCAATCTTAAAAAGTAAAATGGATTGTCTTTGGAATCGATATCAGTCGACAACAATCATGTATACAATTTTCTAGTAATCTGTGTAACTGTTGAATGCCCTGACCATGTATGTAGCAGAAGGTGTCTATACAGCATGCACTTGTCTACTGACAAGTGAAGTTTTCACCAAATTTTCAAGGCCTGCTATTTTCAGTTCAGATGAACAGAACCACTTGCTGATAGCCAGCGTTCAGCTTCCTAATGACAACGCTCAGTTTGATGCGTCACACTATGACAGTGAAAAAGGAGGTGAGTGTGGTTCCGAGGAAACAGCTCCACATTCAAGGAACCGTTGCCTGGGCTAATGGTTGGAGCCATTTTGAACCATTGTCCAAACTGTTTCAGAAATTCATCATTCTTTAATTTCTTGACACATCGTTCAACAGCCACAACATTCTAGTACTTCATGCTACATTGGTCAACAGCCACAGCATTCTATTTCTTCTGGACACATCGCTCAACAGCCACAGCATTCTATTTCTTCTTGACACATCGCTCAACAACCACAGCATTCTATTTCTTCTTGACACATTGCTCAACAGCCAAAGCATTCTATTTCTTCTTGACACATTGCTCAACAGCCACAGCATTCTATTTCTTCTTGACACATCGCTCAACAACCACAGCATTCTATTTCTTCTTGACACATTGCTCAACAGCCACAGCATTCTATTTCTTCTTGACACATCGCTCAACAGCCACAGCATTCTATTTCTTCTTGACACATTGCTCAACAGCCACAGCATTCTATTTCTTATTGACACATTGCTCAACAACCACAGCATTCTATTTCTTATTGACACATTGCTCAACAGCCACAGCATTCTATTTCTTCTTGACACATTGCTCAACAGCCACAGCATTCTATTTCTTCTTGACACATTGCTCAACAGCCACAGCATTCTATTTCTTCTTGACACATTGCTCAACAGCCACAGCATTCTATTTCTTCTAGACACATTGCTCAACAGCCACATCATTCTATTTCTTCTAGACACATTGCTCAACAGCCACAGCATTCTATTTCTTCTTGACACATTGCTCAACAACCACAGCATTCTAGTACTTCATGCTACATTGCTCAACAACCACAGCATTCTATTTCTTCTAGACACATTGCTCAACAGCCACAGCATTCTATTTCTTCTTGACACATCACTCAACAGCCACAGCATTCTATTTCTTCTTGACACATTGCCTAACAGCCACAGAATTGCACAAGGGTGAATGATGTTTCATCAGAACTTGTAGTTCCTAAACCTGGCATGACTATTTGAACCCATTGCTGACATTTTCGTTCCGTTTGTTTGATGGGCTTGGAGACAACCATTGTTCTATTGTTCCCTCACAAAGTTTGTAGCTGAATAACTGAATGAAGCTTCTATTAGGCAGAGATGACCAACCATTATGATTTTGTTAGAATCATGATGATATTTTTAACCAATTTCTGACAGCCCAATTAAGTTAAATAGTTTTGAATTTGTTCTTTTTGTTTTTGTTTTCATAATTGCCTCAGTTTCATGATTTGTCATATTTGTATTAGGGCAAATTAAATTAGTTATGTCAATGAAGTCAGGTCAGTTTAAATAATTAATCAAAATTTACCATGCCAAAGGTCACACAACAATGGCTTAATGGTCATGGGAGAGGCTGCCAATGGTAGGTTGGCAAATATCAGTTTAATCAAGTAGATATCTGAAGGTCAAATGGAGAAGGTAGCTACCCAAAGTAAGTCACTGTCGAAGAAGGAAGAGGTCATTCTCTTTGACTGATTATAGATGACATATTTCAAGATTTGAATCCAGCTTGCCACACTGCAGCATGACGGCATTCAGGTCCTGTCAGGCTTGACAAATATTGGTGGTATATGAGGTATTTTCTGTTTCAGAGTTTGGAGGTTTTGGCTCTGTGAGTGGCAAAATAGAAATTGAGATTAAAATCAACCACGAAGGTGAAGTAAACAGAGCTCGGTTTATGCCCCAGAACCCTACAATAATTGCAACAAAGACACCCTCGAGTGACGTCCTGGTCTTTGACTACACAAAACATCCATCTAAACCAGGTAGGGATGGACAAGAAATGATCAACTCTCAACACTTATCAACTGTTTCTGTAATTTATCTAAAGAATGATGATGTCATCGTGTTGATTTTCATGTTCCGGTGAAGTTAATTATGCTTAGAATTGGGTTGGTTATTGAAATTGGAAAGTTTTCATGTAAGGAGTTCCTGGAGTAGAAATATTTGGAGGCACTCTATAACCATGTTGATATGGTGAAGTCGAGACTCAGACATATGATGTAGACTATCCAGCAAAAGAAATTATGCACACGTTTGATGATGGCTACAAGTGAAACAAACAAGAAATGGTTATTCAATGTTGATACAGGTGTTTTGACCTTAAGTTTGAAGTATTAGGCGACTGTTTGCAGCCTTGTAACATTTGGATAATGTTTGTAATTTCTTGGTCAAATGCAATTTTCAAGTTTATGCTTTCTTTTTCATCAAGACAATGCAACATTCTATAGCTATGTGGTAACCATGGTAACTAGCTTATTCTTTGATATGTTAGAGTCTTAGTGATATTTTAAGTCAATGTCCAAGCAAATGCAAAACTTCAAGCCAGATTTGTCTGCTTACAGATCCTAGTGGTGAATGCAGCCCTGAGCTCAGATTAAAGGGTCATCAAAAAGAAGGGTGAGACCTGTTTCATTGTAAACTTTAACCCCTGATGGATTTCCAACTGACTGTTTAGGCATGACATGCATTGGCCCAAATTCATTGTTTGGATCTAGGTTTGACTGGCAGACACTGTTGCATCAAGGCAGTTTAAAGTCATCAATGATGATTCTTATCGATATGCATTGTTGCCAGAAATAAACATGACCTTGGCTTGCCATCAGTTGTTCAGATTGGCCTACAGTATCACAGATGATGAATTTTGTTATGTTATTTTTGTGACTTTTGATAGATTACCCAAGTGAAAATACACGTTACCCGCACTTGAGAAGTTGAAGGGTTCCAATGACCCACACTGAGCAAATCCTAGATGCAATACTGTAGGCGTTTGTTTGTATCAGCTAATCTCACGTGTGTGTTATTATTTTTCAGTTATGGATTATCATGGAACCCAAATCTCAATGGTCACTTGCTTAGTGCTTCTGACGATCATGTAAGTAGACGAATAGAAGAATTTATTAATTAAAAACGATTTTCCACTTAATAACTTCTTGAGTGAACATCACGGTTATTTATGGAATAGGCTTCTTACTGATCATAATGTTTTAATTCTTGGAGATTTAGACATTAATATGTCATTTTGGATTTTGAAAGAGACGTTCTGACTTAGTGCCGCAATGGTGTAAGATGTTGCTCATCGCCAGTCACAGGTTTCAAGGTCCAGGCCGCTGTGGGAATAATGTCTTTCAAACATTCACTCGTTTAATTACTTGTGTGTTTATTTCCAGACAATATGCTTGTGGGACATAAACACAACACCAAAGGATAAAGTCATTGACGCCAACACAATATTCACTGGCCATACGTCGGTGGTGGAGGTGAGTGTGTGATAGTTACATTTATAATGTGCCCGATTCCGTTTACAAAGTGAATACTATGATGCTACATTATAACTACCCTGGTTTTAAATTCACTCACTGTGCATTCACATTTCATTCTCAGCCCCCTGAGGAGTATACAATTCAAACTGCCGTTCGAGGTGCTAGGTCATATTAACGTCTTGTCATTCTCATGATGGATACAACTAGCTGTTCGCAAATCACCCTAATATGGATGGAATTGTGCTGAATAAATCATTTCCAATAGCCTTGAAGGGGTGGTCGGGTAGCCTAGTGGTTAAAGCGTTCGCTCGTCACGCCGAAGACCCGTGTTCGAGTCCCGACATGGGTACAATGTGTGAAGCCCATTTCTGGTGTCCCCCGCCGTAATATTGCTGGAATATTGCTAAAAGCGGCGTAAAACCATACTCCCTCACTCACTCCAATAGCCTTGAAAATATTTTCTTGGATCTCACACATGAAAACACTTGTCTGATTTTAGAAAGAACTGATTTGTATTAATTTGCGAGATGTGATGTTTTTTAATGTCTTCTTAATTGCAGGATGTAGCATGGCATCTTCTTCATGAAAGTCTGTTTGGGTCCGTGGCTGACGATCAGAAACTGATGATGTAAGTGGAATAGTCTTGATGGTCCGAGTACTGACCAGTTGATGACATTGCATAGATACGTACTTCTACATGTAACTTGTTCATTCATCAATGTGACAAGGGAACAAACACAGGGTAGAGAAATATGTAAAAAGAAATATTCTTGGTTCTCAGGCACAACTGCACTTTTTGTTTTTATTTCTATTTTCAATTTTTATAAAAAAATCTTAGTAAAGAAAAAATGTTTAGTGTCTTGAACACACGGCCCTGGCAGTGAAATGCTTCAATACTTTAAAACAATGTGATCCAGTGCAGTTACTTCCCTTTACATGTGCACTGCTTTACTGCACATCGTTTTATGGTCATAGCGGCAATAGGAGTTTGTGTGCTTGTTTTTCCGTTTGCACATTTGGTCAGTGAAAACATGAAATTTACGATCAAATGTCACAAGACATGATGATTTTCAAATTCAATGTTATTTGTGTACTGTATGCTGGACAATGTTTCATAGGCAGAAATTAATGTGACATGTTTAAGCTGGAAATGGCAATCAGCTGTCCAGATACACGGTGAACACTTTTATAGCCAGATAGTGTAATAATAGGACTAATTTGTTACTTGTGTACTTCAGTACCGTTTCGTTGACATGCTACTTCCTGTGTTACGTGCTCACGATAATGTCAGTGTTGTGAAATAAAATCAAAGTTCATTGTATGTGTGTAAATTTTATGGCCGCTACATACACATCGAAGAATAGTTTCCCAAGTTGATTGTACACAACTGTTTATTTGGTCACATACTAGTTAGAACATCCCCGCCACCCCCGAAAAAGGCCACCCGCCTTCACTTTATTTTCAAAAGCCATTGCCTGGGAACCAATTCTTTTTATTTTTTTAAGCCTAACATAGTTGACAGTTAAGAGGTGTTGCAGGTTCATGGAAAGGAATACGGGTTTTAATGAGTCTTTTACCACTCATCTGAAATTTGTTGTAATTAATTTCTTGCTCTTATGCTTTTTTCCAACGATAATACGTAAGCTGTTGCATGTAATGTAGGGTGAGGATGTTCACCAAATTATTTATTGACTCGCTGATATAATTGTTTTATTTCTGTCTTTAAATCAGCTTAATATTTTTTCTTATTGTGCGTGTTGTGAGAGCATTATTGTGACATGCTTATTTTAGCTGGGACACACGCTCAAACAACACGAGCAAGCCGAGCCATACCGTCGACGCCCACACAGCAGAAGTTAACTGCCTCTCCTTCAACCCTTACAGTGAATTCATTCTTGCCACAGGATCTGCAGACAAGGTACATAGCCACAGCTGAGACGCTGATAGATTTGATTATTTAGGGGTTGTCATGATATGGCTCGAAATATGCTGGTTGATGAAATTAATATGCATTCACATAAGAGAATTTTCTTTTTTTACTTTTGGACAGAGAAATGTGGGTATGTCACCATGTGTTGACACATCAATAATTCATTTTACCCTTCTAGTTCATTGTTGCTATGAATTCCTGCAAAATTAATGATTAATCTGTCACTATCATGTGTGAATGATAGTTAATACTTTTCATTGTTCTGCTTTCAGACTGTTGCATTATGGGACTTGAGGAATCTAAAATTGAAGTTGCATTCATTTGAGTCGCACAAAGACGAGATTTTCCAGGTAACATTACATGTTGTGAAACTGATAAACTGGTTAAAGTCAAAATGAATTGCTGCAGTTTATATCAAACTGTAAAACACTGAAAACTGCAAGATTGATATGAAGGTTTTGTGTAAATATGACTCCGCATTGTTTCCAATTGTCTGTCTAAAGTTCCTATAATCTTCTGTGATTCATTCTGTGTTAAGACATGGGAGTGGTAAGACATAGAAAGTGTTGGTCCTGACATTGCTTTATGTCCTGTAACCCAGACTAGCAACATTCATGTCAAGTTTGAGCTGTCTAAAGTTACTATTGTGTGCTCCCCCCTCCAGGTTCAGTGGTCCCCCCATAACGAGACAATCCTGGCTTCTAGCGGCACCGACAGGAGGCTGCATGTGTGGGACTTGAGGTAGGTTCATGCAGCACGACTCAGGGAACAAGTACAGGGGGGAAGTTCTTTGTATTAAGACTTGGTGCTAATTGCATAGTCTAAATTATAATGACAGTTAAAATAAGTTTGTGGTCACACTTATAAATCATATTTTATTTACAAAAATACTGTGATGTTTACGCCGCGATATGACTGGAATACTGTTAAAAGCGGCGTTAAACCCAACTCATTCACTCACTCACTGTGATGTTTATCAGAAGCCAGCAAAAATAATGCTTCCCAAAGTGAACTGGAGTCCAAACACAGGCAGGATGAACATAAAAAGGTCAAGGGCTTTAGTAACTGAGAAGTGTATATTCATCATTGAGGAAGAAGGCAAACAACAGCTTGTTATTTAGTTTATGCTGAAAAGATGGCCTAGAAGATTAATCCTAATGTCTTTATGTTGGCACACTTCAATACAAAATACCTGACCTCCTTTCTTGTCTCAGTGTCGGGGCGGTCAGGTAGCCTGGTGGTTATGCCTCCATTCCCGACATGGGTACAATGTGTGAAGCCCATTTCTGGTGTTCCCTGCCGTGATATTGCTAAAAGCGGCGTAAAACCATACTCACTTTCTAAGTGTCTTGCAGCACACTTGAATATATTACACAGCATATTGCCTTGATTGTAGCATGTCGAGGGTATAAAACCTCGGTTGTTTAGGGACTGAAGCTTTCAACAGTACTCATGTCTCACTAAGAGATGAAGCAGTTGTCATAGGATGGTAGGAGGAAGGGTTGGTGTATAGATACAATGTCTTTCCAATATTTTCTTAAGCAAAACACTGCCGTCATATAGCTAGAATATTGCTGAGTGTGGCGTTAAACAACAAACCAACTGAACCAAAACAGTTAGGGATAATGAATGTTTTGGGGGATCTGTTTTTGTAGTGAAGACTGACCACACAGTTTCATAAAAATATTCCCCAAAATATTCATGATCCCTAACATTTTTTCTTCAGTATACATGAGGAAGCTGTACCACAAGTGTAGGGTTGACATGGGTTTCAGTTTCTTTCTTCTTTCAGTGCAACATTTCTATTATCCATGTGTTATGGGTTTTCAGATGTGAAGAAACATTCATTATTTTCTCTCATCACATGGACAACTGTAAAACACCTTTCCTCTTTTTCTTTTTATAAAACAAGCCATCATCTGAGTATTAACATTGTCTGTGTGATGCTACATCCCCCATTATTGCGTGAGTAATTGTGATAAACAGCCGTCCGTATGATCCGCCGATACCTTGATCAACGACTTGTTTTGATGTAAGTAATGGCAGTACATGTCTCCTGTTTACAGTAAGATCGGAGAGGAGCAGTCTGCGGAGGATGCAGAAGATGGGCCACCAGAGTTGCTGGTAAGTGTACGCTGTTTGAAGTCTACAAGCTACACCTCGGAATAGTTGACGTTTCACTGACTTTATTTATCTATGAGACGAAAATATCTTCATGGATTGTCTTTGTTGTTTGTGATTGAAAATCTGCAGTATGTAGATAATTGTATGCTACCAGCAACAGGTCTTACAAACACAATATATTCCTCTGGAGTAATAGGTAATGAATATTAAATTCCACAGGAGTGTAACTTTTTGGATACTGTGGGCGTAAAGAATGAATGGAAAGGCAAGACTTTGTTTGTGATTATTACCTACATTGAGACTTGGTACTCAGTTGTTCTCTCACTTAGTGTTTTTGTGGGTTTTCTTATTTTTTCACCCATGGGGTGGGGGGTGGGGGGTGTCGGTCGGGTAACCTTGTGGTTTAAGCGTTCGCTCGTCACGCCGTAAACCCGGGTTCGATTCCCGACATGGGTACAATGTGTGAAGCCCAATTCTGGTGTCCCCTGCCGTGTTACTACTGGAATATTGCTAAAAGCAGCTTAAAACCATACTCACTTACTCACTTTTCACCCATGGAAATAAATTAAGAACATATGTCCCCTGCGTCCTGTGGATGGGGTAGTCAGGGTTGATACCCATGAAGGTCCTGTTTGATTACTCACAGAACATACAGCTGGAATATTGCCAAGTGCAGTGTTAAACTAAAAAAAAATAATCCCATCTTTAAATATCAGCTTTTGATAGGGATACCCCAACATATAGGACATATATCTGATTACGTACATTCTAAATTTTCAGTTCATACATGGAGGCCACACAGCTAAGATCTCCGATTTCTCATGGAACCCAAATGAACCCTGGGTAATCTGCTCCGTGTCCGAAGACAACATCATGCAGGTCTGGCAGATGGTAAGTGGAGTGTTTGATGTTATTTCAATTTATTTGGTATTTATTGCCTGTATGCAAGAGAGATTGACCCACAAGTCAGTCTCATCAAAATCATATCTTTTAATAGCTTTCAAGATCTGTAGGAGAGCCAATGTATTGGAGGAAAAGATCTGATTTTAATTAAATAGTTGGGGTAAAGAATATGTAACCTTGTCTTTGTCCAGGCGGAGAACATCTACAATGACGAGGAGCCCGACACGCCTGCAGCCGAGCTGGAGCAGGCCGCTCAGTAGAAGTGGACAAAATGTCGCAAGGACAATTCATGTATCATTGATATGGTCAACCAACGTTGGTCTGTGTAACAAGTGTTATGCAACATTACAGTATGGAGAACTGTCTTAATATTGTCACCAGTGGACACAGATGTCCCTGGTGACCTTGGTCCTGTGGATTATTTATGAGAGGATTCAAGATTTTGTACCTATTCATCATCATGATGCCGCAGAATCAAGCTGCTGTTTCAAGATCAGGTTGCTGTGGTAGTCTTCATCAGAAATAAACACGCTTCATCCTACCCTGCGTTGGTTTTGTGCATGTTTGATGTGAGCTAAAATTGTGACTGCTTGCTTGTCGTTAGAGGTGACTAAACAGTATTGGGTGGTCAGGCTCGTCATGTTAAGATTGCAGAAAAAGTCCTTATGCTTGCAGTAAAAGGATCGGGTGGAGATTCGTAGCAGAAGCAATTTCTCAAAGGTGACCTTTGCAAGTGAAGTTTATTACTTGGATCTTTATGACATGTGCCAGAATAATCGGTTTAGGCGGTCAAATTCCATTTTACAGGGTTGCTAAACACGTAGACAACATATGTATGGTACACGTACAGAATTTTATACAGTTCTATAAAGAAAATCTATATACAGCATGAATTCACAAGGGCTTAACAGTTTACTGAAGAAACTACATTTTAAATAATTCAGATAATTACACATACAGACGTGTACCAGTAACAATATTCATGTCTCAACACTATTACGATTTCAAGTTGCTTATACAGGCAAATTGTCCAACATTTAGAAAATGTAATGTGTTGAAAGCAGTAAAATCATCTCGAGAAAGGATTTTTGAAAATGCTGGCTCCTTGACTGGACAACGCAATTGTTAATTCTTAACCCATGACGAGTATAAACACAATAAAGAGAATTTCTTTCCAATGTAAATAACATAAAAACTTACTTCCTCGCTCATGAAATACTGAAGGTGGTCATTCTCAAGTTTGCAAATTCAATTACTAGCACGTTCAGTGTTTCAAAACAGACAAGCTGTCATGATTTAGTTGTAGTCCTTCATGGTCTTGCATTGGTACCATTCTGAACTGATGGAGGTTCAGTGAAATCCCATCCTTGAATGGCAGGTTCTGGTTACCTGTCAGAACACTTCTCAGCTGTTAAAATACAGTGGCTGAAAAAAATGAAAATGAATGTGTGAACATTAATTATGATAAGACGAGTATAAGCACAATTTACAGTGATATACACACAAAAAAACACGAGAAATGGTTTAAATAAAGACATTGAACACAGCTGCCGGCAAACATTTTAAAAAATGGATTTGGGATATGTTTTTCCTGACTGTAATTTACAACACACCAAACCTGCTTAAATAACAACGAAACAGGTACATGTAATTGGTTATTTTCAATATGGCTGCCATGTCAAAACTGGATTGATGTGAGCTAAAACTGTCCCTTGGATACATGGAGTTCAGTTTTACACCTCACAACAGTATTTCAATTACATCATTGGATGTCGTGCGAGGCAACAAAAAACAGTTTCCCGTTTCCAGCCACACCAGACCCTAAACCTTTTTTGTTTTTATCAGGTTGCAGCCAAGCTTTCCTGTATATTATGCCACAAGCATACATTTGTTGTGCTTCACTAGGAATAAACCAATCCTGTTCAAACCTGTTTCACCAGTTGTCTAAGGTGCTGCAATGCGCTGTGCAGAGTTGCGTCCCTTGGGCACACTAGAGAACCTATGATTGTGGGTTCGAATCCTGGTTCGCCCTGATTATGTTTCTAGGTTTGTCAGCACCATACCTGTGCTCGTGGGTTTCACCGAAGTGGTAAACGTCTGAGACCTGCATCACTTCAGGCTTTCCTCCCGCATTAAGCTGACATGCCGCGATATAACTGGAATACTGTTAAAAGCGGCGTTAAACCCAACTCACTCTCACTCAAACCTGTTTTATTTGTACATTGCTGTGTAAGTTGCTTGAATGAGCACACACTTGACCCAGTTTTACAACTTTAGTACAGCATGATCACAATGGCCGACATTTTTTATTTGGTTTGTTGTTTAACGCCACATGCTGGTATACTGGGACCAGTGATTATGTATCTTTACAAGGGAGTGCTTATTACAAATTTCATAACAGAAACCATAATCAATGGGTCCTGGTAAGAGAAAGGGATACAACTCTGCACTTCTACGTCACTGAAGTTACTTCAGAATAAACTACTGATCTGTGCTGTGATGCCTTCAATAACTGGGCAACCATTACCTAACACTGTCAGTGGATGAAGCAACTCACATTTGACATCATCTGGTGGTGCTTGCTGATGTCATACAGTTCCTCGGGGGAAATCAGGGATGTATTCATATCTAATTCAAATGTCTCGTACGCCTGCAGCATCTGAGTAGAACATGAATATCAGTCACTAAACATGACAGTGATGAGACCTTTTGTACACAACATTCAACAGGTTCTATATGAATTACAAACAAGAAACTGTGGTTTACACCGATTTTTGCACTAAGCCAGCAAGTACTTAATACAAAGCTTGGAAAACCCCTATCAGTTTCAGATTGAAATGTTGACAACATCAATAAATCATGAGTTTGGATACACTGTTCCCTCATCAACCATGATTACATACATCCACTTAGTCGTGCCGCGACGCTAAACTCCAACTCCCCTCACCCCAGTTTACATCACACCAACAGCAATGTGTCTCACTTGACAATGGCTGCAACGTGTGTGATATGATCTATGCATGGTGGCAATGGTGGGGTTCATGCACCGAGTACAGCTCATGTGACTTCCACAACCTCATTATATTACCTGCCTAAATATCAGCTCAATGTACTCAATGCGGTCGGGTAGCCTAGGAGTTAAAGCGTTCGTACGCCACGCCGAAGACCCGGGTTCGATTCCAGACATGGGTACAATGTGTGAAGCCCATTTCTGGTGTCCCCCGCCGTGATATTGCTGGAATATTGCTAAAAGCGGTGTAAAACCATACACAGTCACTACTCACAGGTGAACCAGCAACATAGTGTATACACGCCAGTGAAGTATTAATGATGTAGTGTTGCTTGATCGATTTGACGTGTCATTTCAAATAATTAGTTTCAAATAGTTTCATATCAAAAAAGGGTATCCTCAATTATCCTGGATATCATGTCTCCATTTATTTATAGTGAGTGTGTATGGTTTTACACCGCTTTTAGCAATATTCCAGCAATATCACGGCGGGGGACACCAGAAATGAGCTTTACACATTGTACCCATGTCGGGAATTGAACCCGGGTCTTCGGCGTGACGAGCGAACGCTTTAACAACTAGGCTACCCGACCGTCCTCCATTTATTTATAAGAAATATCCTGGACCCATTCAAAACCATAGTTTTGTTTGGTGTGATGTCACAACCTCCATCTCTGTTACCACTAGCTTAGCACAGAGACTAGAGGTAGTTTATTTGACACCTAGTTTTAGTTGATACGAATCGGGCTCAAAGCGAAGCTGTGGCAGCGAAAGAGTGCTGGGTATTTATCATACTAGAACGGAGATATAATACACTGGACAATCTAGGATGTGGCTAGTGCCACGGTTCACAAAGTGATGTTAGCACAATGGCTTTGTGTATGAAGTGAAGTGGGGTTTAATGTAACATTCAGGATTATTGCACTTATATAGCAACATGCATGTGTGTGTGTGTACTCGCTCTTGTACTATCTGTACTCATGACGATTTTATAGCTAGTCCACACAACAAAGTGACCAAGCTGAACAGTCCTTGTTTTATCACCTTAATGCTGAGCGCCAGGCAGGGTAACAACTGCCATCTTTTAAAGTATCTTGGTGTGATGGGGCCAAGGGATTGAACCACCGATCTGACTCTAACCACTACACAACAGATGCAGTCTGAAAATGTATGATGACGAGCACTATGATTGCTGCCACTGTGATATCGGCACGTACCTGGAATGCACACACTGAGCACTATGATTGCTGCCACTGTGATATCGGCACGTACCTGGAATGCACACACTGAGCACTATGATTGCTGCCACTGTGATATCGGCACGTACCTGGAATGCACACACTGAGCACTATGATTGCTGCCACTGTGATATCGGTACATACCTGGAATGCACACACTGACACAGGCATCTGCCCAACCGCCGTCCCCAGACCTGGGATCAACACTGAACTGATCTTTTCTTGACTTGCATCTTCATTGTGTCGCTGGACTGAAGTCATATGTGAGTAAGAACATATTTTATCAGTCAAATCAAACTACATAATAACTACATACAATAATATAAAATAATAAACTATTAGATTTTCATCCAGATTTGTTGAAGATGAGATGAAATGGGGTTTAACGTTGCATCCAAGATGTGTGTGTGTGTGTGTGTGCGTGTGCGTGCGCGCCTGCTTGTACTTGTCCAGACTAATGCCGACTTTGTAGTGCAGTCACAGTATACTGACCATCTTTAAACGTTTTTTTATATTAGGTGCCCACGGATTGTACCCCTGATCTTCTCTCCAGACAGACACTCTACCACTAGACCATGGAGGCAGTCCAGATTTGTTTACACTGTTGGGCATTTTACATTTATTTATTTCAAACAAACCACGGCTACCGCTAAACAAAGATCTGAGGACATCCCATTACGGGTCACGTCAGAACGACCTTTCGGGAACTTTGACCGACCAGTGAAATGACTGACAAGAAATCGACACAAGGCAATCAGTAGACAGCTTTCTCGAGCTTTATGACACTAGTTTCAAACTGGTGACTAGGCTTCGAAACATGTTTTGACGTATTCTCGATTAGAAATTATAAAACTGATAAAAAGAACATTCTGGAATGGCTTTTAGATGGCCTAGATTGTATGGATATATCATAAAACCCGGAACTGTCGTTTGGAATACCCCGTGTTAAATATTTCCAGGTTACATGATTAGAAAACACATTCCGACTGTCACTTTCATGATCTGGTAAGCGATGCTCTAATTGGTTGGATGAAAGGTCATTCTGACGTGACTCGTAATGGGATGTCCTCAGATTGTTGTTAAGTGATAGCGAGAACTACGATCTGATTCTAATGAGATCGAAGCATTAAGGAATATTCCTTTCTGTTGTGGAGGGATAAGTTTAAAAATACAGGATGAAAATCAAATAATTTATTTACAACACAATTTTGTCAAGATATCTTGATAGGTTTGTTATATCATACCCGTGAAATTTTATATCTGAAGTCAGCTAAACTAACAATAGCTTGATCAGTCAAAAAATGATATTCTACAGTTAATTGCCATATCATATATGATAAAGATGTCTTGTGTATTAAAACATGTGTTTTGTATCCATACCTCATGATATACCCTCTAAAAATATAACGAAGTTACACATCCATCAAGGCAAATGGTAAATGGCTACAATCCTTGTTAAAAGTTACGCTACAATTGGAAACTAATTTCGCCAAGGTGATCTTTGGTAGAGCTCTTGTTAGGTCAAGAGAATAATTTGGAACTAAAATTGCCACATAAAACATTTTAGAGTACACTTCAATATATTTTGTGTTTATGGAGGTAAAAACATAACTGGTGTGGAAAGGGGAAAATGTCTAATTTTTGTTAGTTTCTTTGTTTGTTGTTTAATGCCGCACTCAGCAATATTCCAGCTATATGATGGACCAGACATGAGCATCGATCCACCCAACTGGGATGCGATGACATGCATCCATCAAGTCAGGAAACCTGACTACCCAATCCTGTTCGTCGCCTCCTATGACAAGCATAGTCGCCTTTTACGGCAAGCATGAGTTTCTGAAGACCTATTCTCTACCTGGATCTTCATGGGTCGCAGAAATGTTTAAATTCTGATAAATAAATGTAGATATGATATGAAATCAGTGACATTGCTCAACACAATAATTCACCACATGCCCCTATTCATCAGCCAATCAGGAAACAGTAGGCAGCTGGTGGGCATGGGTTTATCATTTTTAGGTTTATGGAAACACCAAAACAATTACTTGGTTAGCCAATCAAATGCCATGGAATAACATGCAATTTATATTTCGAAATAAAAGTTAATAAAAGTGCCATATTTACCAGCCAGTATAACAGCCTTAAAGGCGAGATATGCATTCACTGTGCCCTCCACATTCATAGGGACTCTCATTGTAGGGACTGATACTAGCCATTTGATTGACTGGCCCTCGTTTGTCTTTGACCAATCCATGGAATCCTCCTTAGCCCCGCCTTCGAAAGTTGGCAAGATGATGGCATCTCCCTGAATGGATAGAGCATGGAGTGTGTATAGTCTGTGATCATACCTCCATGTCAGAATGATGAGATCGGATTGGTTCACATGATCTTGACAAAAAATATGTATCCCACCTTGGAGGGAAATAAATTTCTCAGTGGGGGAATAAATCCCTTATACCCCACCATGAGCAAGTCAGGCTGCATGTGGATTTTTTAGAGGCAGAATAAATCCCTTATACCTCACTACGAAGCAAAAAGCTGCACGTTTGTTCTAAGGATGGGACGGGTAACTCGGGTACTTGGGTCGGGTGGGTCATGAGTAGGACCTGGGTACCCAGACCTGTGGCTAGTCATGTGAATTATTGTTTAATGACAAAAACTCACTTTAGCTCAGTGGTTACACTACATGACGCTAATGTTTGCATTTCTTTCTGACGATACATCCATTCCTTTTGACTTGCATTTGTTTGAGCAAAGATACGCATGATCAGATCGTTTGATACATGTATCTATAGTTACTGCCTGGGCTGCAGTGCAACAATTCCCAATCAGACATCTTGTTCCCAACTCTTGAGACCTGCAGTGGGTAGGGTCGGATAATAGGGGGTTGGATACCCGGGTAGCAGATTTGGACTCGTCTCATCCCTAGTTTTTCCCCTCCGAGTCAATGAAAGTCACATGCCATTGCACAAATTAACCTCAGCTCAATCAAACAGCTGTTTTCTATCAATTTTGAGTTTGTTTTAATTCTGTTACAATGTCATTTTAAAACATAAGGTAAGATAAATTTGTTGTAGCAGGATCACTTGGGGTATAAGGGGTTTTAAGTGTCCCACATTAGGTTTTATACCCAGAACCTACGAGGGATGCATAAAACCCCTTGTACCCCTCGGGATCCTGCTACAACAAATTTATCTAACCAGCATGTTTTAATATGGATAGGATAAAACACGTCTCAGGGTTGTAATGATATTTAAAAGCCGCATCCTGAGCGGCTTGCCCCGAGGGATTTTCCGAGGGAAAGGGTTTTATCTTACTTATAAACTGATTTTGAACCTTAAAACAACATGTTTTTTGTTTTTATGTTTCGAACATACCTTCCATGAACCTTAGGAAACAGGCGTAAAATTTCTGTTGCTGGCGTACGGATCTTGAAAAGGACATTCTAAAAAGAAGTGCGGCTTATCAACACCTCTATATAGCCTTGTGGTACACTCACTGGGCTACAGATATGAAGGTTGCGAGTTTGATCCTCGGGAATATAAAGAAAACATTTGTCATTTGATTTTACATTTCATTACATGTTACAATCTGAACGGAAGTTATATTAATAAAATACCCAGGACATTATATAAAATCCCTGGGATATTATAACACATTATATAGCAAATATGACTTGAATATCCTATAAAATCCCGGGGATATTATATAAAATCCCAGGGACATTACAAAGTCCCTGTTTATGAGATTCAACCCGACTGGAGAACAATAGGATGACGTCACCGGAATATAAGACATTGTAAAAGAATTAAAACAAATTCAAAAATGCAGTTTTATCAGTCTCTCAGCTGTATCACATCGGGGGATGCCAATAATGTCGAACTCGGGGCTTACGTGTTGTGAGCAAACACTCTAACCACTAGACTACCACATCACCTGTCACACTGTAACCTATATTTTTTTAATATGCACACCTAATATTTCGTGTTTTATTTTACAAATCGCACACATGAACAGTAGATGCAGCCATTGCACACATGAACAGTAGATGCAGCCATTGCACACATGAACAGTAGATGCAGCCATCGCACACATGAACAGTAGATGCAGCCATTGCACACATGAACAGTAGATGCAGCCATCGCACACATGAACAGTAGATGCAGCCATTGCACACATGAACAGTAGATGCAGCCATTGCACACATGAACAGTAGATGCAGCCATCGCACACATGAACAGTAGATGCAGCCATTGCACACATGAACAGTAGATGCAGCCATTGCACACATGAACAGTAGATGCAGCCATCGCACACATGAACAGTAGATGCAGCCATTGCACACATGAACAGTAGATGCAGCCATTGCACACATGAACAGTAGATGCAGCCATCGCACACATGAACAGTACATGCAGCCATCGCACACATGAACAGTAGATGCAGCCATCGCACACATGAACACATGTTAATGAGTCACTTACCACTAAAAGTTCACCATGTTTTTCAGTGCGGATGATTTCTTGGAGTCTTTTCTGCCTGTTCAAAGAAAGATAAATTATTGCAATACACAAAACATACCTATCCACACCATACACGCATCATCTTCCCGAGGCAAGGGAGTTAACTGACCATAAAAGTCAAGTTTCCACCCTTGCCGAACTAGGCTTGTATTACGGAGTTACAATTTGACTGGACTTACGAGTCTATGCATAGTCCAATTAAAATCGCGCAAAGAAATAAAATCCGGTTCGTAAACTGTCGTGCAGATTTCGGTCGATTGCAGGATTTGCAAAGCATGTGCATCGCCAACTCGTTGACAACAGATATTTTCAAAATCTTTTCATGTTTTCAAGGTGCTCACATGATTTGATGGATTTCGCGATGTAAGACCCGTTTTATCACAATATAGATCTTGATTATCGAGCAGATTGTCCTGACTTGGCGCCGCCATTTGAAGCAAATGCAAGTGATATGAGAGGTGGAATCTGATTGGTCCATAGGAGAGGCTTAGACGGGACATAACTGGTAATAGCCACTAGTGGCGCTAAGATAGAGCCCAGGAATTCAAGCCTAGTCGGCAAGGGTGGAAACTGGTCTTTTAAAGTTAGTTAACTCTCATGCCTTGGAAAGATGTACATGCATAACCTCTCCACACAATACACTCACAACAATCTGGATCCACTGTTAGACCAGATTCCATTGTTGACAGACTAGACTGACACTTAGTCCCAGAAATAGAATTATCTTATTTAAAAATATATATCTGAAAAAATCAAAAATCAAATCAAATCCAAATGGAGCCCAGAACAATCCTTAATTTCAGACTTAATTTCAATCTAGACTTGCCCAATCACTTGGACTCCTTTCTTTTTTTTCTAGGGTCTGGGTGACAGACTATTGACAGGCTTGTGTCACACATATGGAATATTGCTGAGTGTATGTTAAACAATAAACACATCTGGTGAACAGACTAACTGTATGACCCTTGAGTGGGCAAAACAGTGGTCGATGGAGTGAGCACATGTCGGACCAGCAAGATCACATCTGACAAATATCTATGTAATATCATATGACACTGAAAAGTCCTCACATCTGCCAACCAAAGTGTAAGCTGTAGACCATATCGATCCCTCCATCCATGAAGCCGAAACTGTTGGCAGGGGACACCTGACAGTACAAGTACATCAGTTGTGAAATGTGGGGTCATGTCAAATGTTCAATGAAGCTAATAAATAGTCAATCGATGTAAATTTACTGACAGATAAAGACTGTTCAGACTTAGTGGGTATGTATGAAATGTTTTGCCTGTTTTCATAGGAAATACAAACTCGTTTTACCAATTGTCAAGGTCATTTGATTTTAATATTTCTTTAACTCCTGCAATACGTGAAAACAGCTCAATATGTAATACATACAGCAAACCAAGGCAAGTAACTCTGCATAAATGAGCTTTAATATATGACAGGAAGAACTAATGTAACATTTTCATGGGAAAAACGAACTCATTTTACCAATTGTAAAGGTCATTTGATTTATATGTAATATGTGCAAACAGCTTAATATGTAATACATACAGCAAACCAAGGGAAATAACTCTGCATATGTGAGCATTAGTACTAATATAACACTGTAGAAAAAATGCTGCTTCCAGTGTCTCGAAATAATGTCGTTCTTACCAGAGCATCAGCTGAAGGAGCATCTTTAAATATGTCTCCATGAGATATCTGAAAATATATAATATGTGCTTACAGAAAATCACTAGAGTGAGTGAGTGAATATTTTTTACACAGGAATCAGCAGTATTACATTTCAGTGATTGAAAGCATGAAAAGATCTATGCCAATGGGGTACGATGCTACAATCAGCCAAGTCACACAGCCTGATCTCCATTTACAACAAGCAAGGGGTACCGGGATCCTGTTCTAACCTGGAGGTGAGGTGAAATAAGGGGTTTAACGTCGCGTCCAAGATTATTGCACTTATATAGCGATGTGTGTGTTGCTGCTTGTACTAGTCCGGACTGATGCCGATTTATAGTGCTAGCACACTGTGATACCATGCCGCAGTTCAACATGAATACCCCACTCAGACACAGTATACTGACCCCGAGCCGACCACTCCTTGTTTTAGCCCCTTAACGCCGAGCGCCAGACAGGTTAACAACATGTACCATCTTTTAACGTCTTTTGGTATGATGCGGCCGGGGTTCGAACCCTGGCCATTCCGCTCTCCGGGCGGACGGTCTACCACTAGGCCACGGAGGCGGTCTGTTCTAACCTGGAATCCCCACAGGACAAAGCCATGGACCCCCAGCAACATACAAGGCAAACATCTCATACATGGTCAGGGGCCCATAGTGAATTTTACTTGAGAACCACTAACACATTTTATTTAAACCACACATGCATGCATAGGGACACACACACAGAGGCACAGACACACAGACACACAGAGGCACAGACACACAGAGGCACAGACACATAGAGGCACAGACACACAGAGGCACAGACACATAGAGGCACAGACACACAGAGGCACAGACACACAGAGGCACTGACACACAGATGCACAGACACATAGAGGCACAGACGCACAGATGCACAGAGGCACAGACACATTTGGCCTTTCCTGCCATTCATGGAAGTGAGAATGTGAGTCAATCAAGAGAAATCTAAACACTTGATTATTCAAACGTATTAATTACTTAAAATTGATCTTGAAATTGAAAATAATCTATTTCAATTAATTTCAATACAACTAATTACAGTGAATTGTTATATTGAGTACTGAATTTTGAATGGTTCCAAATTTTCCTTGCAAACCTATTATTATTCACACTGTTCAGCATAAATAATCAACGATCCATAATAATCATTGCTTATTATTGTTCCTGTTTATATATATGGCACCGCCTCTGTGGTCTAGTGGTAGAGCGTCCGCCTGGAGAGCGGAAAGTACGGGGTTTGATCCCCGGCCATGTCATACTAAAAGACTTTAAAAGATGGTACTTGTTGTTACCTTGTCTGGCGCTTGGCCTTAAGGGGGATAAAACAAGGACTGGTCGGCTCGGAGTCAGTATACTGTGTCTGAGTGGGGTATTCATGTTAAACTGTGGCATGGTATCTCAGTGTGCTAGCACTATAAATCGGCATCAGTCCGAACTAGTACAAGCAGCCAGATGTTAAACCCCCTTTTCACCTCACCTCTAAGTTATTGTGGATATATAAAAACAAAACATGACTAGAAAAGATTGACTGTCAGTATGAATCTTATCATACAACAAGTGCAATAATCAGACACTGGACTATTGTATAACTATTGTACATATTGGGTGTTCAGTAGAGGTGTAATGATATGGTCATAATATGCCACGTTTCCCAATACTATTGGTGCAGCACAATTTGTATCCCGATACAGTAATCATATTTCATAAGTTGTCTTTTTTTCTTTTTGCGGGTGAATCAGAGCCCTGAATCGTTTGTTTCTATATTTCAGAGATCAAAGTTGGGATATTGTAGGGTAGGAACATGTTGGTAGAGGGTGCTGCGAATGTTATGCTATTTATGTCCAACCATGAGTGAGTGAGTGAGTTGGGTTTAACGCCGCTTTTAACAGTATTCCAGTTATATCGAGGCGTGTCAGCTTAATGTGGGTGGAAAGCCCGAAGTGATGCAGGTCTCAGACATTTACCACTTCGGTGAAACCCACGAGCACGGGTATGGTGCTGACAAACCTAGAAACATAATCGGGGCGAACCGGGATTCGAAGCAACAATCATAGGTTTCTGGTGTGCCCAAGGGACGCAACTCTGCACAGCAAATCGCGGCGCCTCAGACAACTGGGCCACCCATGCCTCTCCAACCATGAAATACTAGACTATTTGCATAAGCTGATGGCTGAACAGTTTAGTTTAACATCTTAAATCTGTTATTATTCAAATGTTTTTACACAAATATAACTCACAATGTAACGTATCGTATGTATCGCAATACAGGGGTTGTAAATTGATGTATTGTATCATGGACTTTGTATCGGGATACAATACTGTATCGCCATATTGTTACGTCACTAGTGTTAATACTGTGACACCAGGGGATATAAATTCACCAAGTACCTCTATCCTTGTTTTGTGATCTTGAAAGTGTTCCTGCCATGCAGCAACCATTTTGCTGTTTTTGTCTCGGAACTTGTACGTAACGGCATGGTTGTGGCTCGCTGCTACTGCTGCCTCTGCCCCCTCGCCTTCCACATCTCCTTCTGCGTCTTCCAGCACTGTAACCTGATGACTCTCTTCATCTTGTAATACCTGGAGGGACATTTTCCACCTGAAATATAACACCGGCCCTAAGAAGTACAATCAAGTGATCGTGGCAGTGTTGTATTATGTTACAGTCTATAAGTTGGTTGGTTGGTTGGTTGGTTGGTTGGTTGGTTGTTTAACGCTGCACTCAGCAATATTCCAGCTATATGATGGCGGTCTGTAAATAACCCAGTCTGGACCAGACAATCCAGTGATTAATATCATGAGCATCGATCCACGCAATTGGGATCGATGACATGCATCAACCAAGTCAGCAAGCCTGACCACCCAATCCTGTTAGTCGCCTTTTACGACAAGCATAGTCACCTTTTACGGCAAGGATGGGTTGCTGAAGACCTATTCTACCCCTGAATCTTCACGGGTAGAGTCTATAAGTAAAATAGCTGACATTTTCCCTTAGGCAATTTATAAAAACACCAAATTATTTCAGCCATTTTACAATTCTGTTTCTGTCAGATCGACTAAACATTATGTATTGGAGAAAACACGCTCACAAGGTTTTGGTAGACAGAGCATGCCCTGGGGAGAGGGAAAAACCAAGGGGGCGAACCCCCCGCGGTTTTTGCAGACCCCCAGGGCATGCTCTGTCTACCAAAACCAAGGGAAAGTGTTTTTCCATGCTTATAAACCGAAAAAAGAAACTTAAAACAACATTTATCAACATTTTTATGTTTCGAACATACTTTCCGTGAACCTTAGGAAACGCGCGTAAAATATCTGTTGCTGGCGGGATCTTGAAAAGGACATTCTAAAAACACTGGGTACACTCACTGGGCTACAGATATGAAGGTTGCGAGTTCGATCCTCGGGAATATAAAGAAAACATTTGTCATTTGATTTTACATTTCATCACATGTTACAATCTGAACGGAAGTTATATTAATAAAATACCCAGGACATTATATAAAATCCCTGGGATATTATATAAAATCCCAGGGACATTACAACGATTTAACCCGACTGGAAAGTAAAACCTCACAATAGGTTTTAATGCCTATAGAAAGAAGTCTCTTACTTAATAGCGATCCCAATGAATAGGTTTATAATAAGAAGTTCAAAGGGCATAAACATATAACAATAAACTAATTATGCTGGGATTAGAAGCCACAAAATTACAAAAAAAATATACATTGACTTTTGTTTTCTTTTAATCCTATAAAAATGGAACAAATGTTATATTTGGTATAACACTTTCTTAGTAAAGTACCAATTCTGGTACTTTTTTGGGTTGAACCCACACTGCCAGAGTGAGGCACCTAATCGCCAGCACACAAAGTCAGCGCTCTTACCCACTCAGCCACAGAGGCTTCCACAAAAATGAAATTCTGACAACTGGTAGTCTAGATCACGTACTTTGTGTACCCCTCTGACAAGTGTAAATTGGCTCCCATGGCCGAAAGCTATGAACACACAATGTCATTTAGAAAGTGGTCAAATGTAACAAATATTTGGGATAACACTTTCTTAGTAAAGTACAGATTCTAGTACTTTTGGGGGGTTGAGTCCCATTTGGAATTCTAACCCACACTGCCAGAGTGAGGCACCTAAATGCCAGCACAAGAACTCCACCATCTAACCCACTCAGCCACCGAGGCTGTACGTCACTAAGAAAGTGTTATCCCAAATATAACATATCTTACATTTAACCACTTTCAAAATGGCATCGTGTTCAGAGAATAAAAATGTTTGGAATTTGTTATCATAACATAATAAATGGAAAAATAATTGAAATGACTGAAATAATTTGACATTTTGTCTATTGCCTTTCAGTAATTAAAACATTGACTGTAACATATATAAAGTATAGTTGTATACATGTTTACTTTCTTTATTTTGCCACCCTCAATTATCTACACTGTTACATCTCCTTTCTATAATGATTAATGCCCTGGGGCTATTCCCCATCATAACTTAGTTTGGAGTGACATCACCTCCATTGCTCTGAACTGCGCACCAAATTCTCTCAAACGTAAAGACCGCCTCCGTGGTCTAGTGGTAGAGCGTCTGCCCGGAGAGCGGAAGGTCCGGGGTTTGATCCCCGGCCGCGTCATACAAAAAGACATTAAAAGATGGTACTTGTTGTTACCCTGTCTGGTGCTCGGCATTAAGGGGCTTAAACAAGGACTGGTCGGCTCGGAGTCAGTATACTGTGTCTGAGTCGGGTATTCATGTTAAACTGCGGCATGGTATCTCAGTGAGCTAGCACTATAAATTGGCATCAGTCCGGACTAGTACAAGCAGCCACACACACACGTACATGCACGTCGCTATATAAGTGCAATAATCTTGGACGCGACGTTAAACCCAATTTCACTCCCCTCACCTCTCAAACGTAAAGGGTAATTTGATTGGATGGTTGTTTTTATGTCGTTTCATATAAATCAGGCTCAAGACAAAGCAATGGTCACAAATGTGTCCTGGGTGTTTTTCATACTAGAAAGTAGAGTACCCAGGACAATCGAGGATGGTAGTTTGCTTAATTGAACATAGTTTATTGGAATACATATTGACCTTTTCACGTACACTGTTGCTTTGCATGTAAAAACCTGCACATCGGCCATACTCGACAATGTCTACACTGTTTAAGCCAAATAGTGATTGAATGTGTGTAGTTTTCTTCTACCAATTCTATTCTAAACCATAGCTTCAACTATTATTAGTTGTGGGTACAGTAGGTTGCTTGGGTCACTCCATTGTTTTAAGTTGCACATTGCGTTCTAGTCCGTCTGATTAGTCGACCGATGGTTGAATTTATTGAATTTATGACCGATTCGTTTTCATTGCACACCAGCTTTTAAGCTTTGAATGATCTTGAATGACCACTACTGTCCTTTGCATGGTGTTGTGTCATTCATTTGCATGTTAGTATTTGGAAGAGGCTATTTCTGGATGTACAATACTGTGTCCTATACCCAAGTGACAATGAAAGTTAATATTCACAGTGAGGTATAGGTACTTTAGCCTAGAGCTGTGATGGGGTCCTACAGTCAAAACATGACCCTACATCACTCGATGTAGGGACATGTCTTGACTGTAGGACCTCATCACAGCTCTCAGTTAGGTCTACGGTTGTTAAACTATAAAAGGCTGCATGATGACAAGAATAATTAACACTGCAATCTGAAACACTGGAAACTTGTCCAAATCCAGAGTCAAATATAGTTTCTTCTGATCTTGTAATCTATATCAGCAATAATCCCTACAAGTATATCTATGTGAACACATGACAAGTGTGGGAAAACTAGCAGATGATAACGAATAAAATGACAAATGTTCAAATTAAGACATTGCGATAATTAGACTATGATTTGTGAGAGTTGTTGTCACATTTCAACAGACAAAATCGTCTTCATTGCGTATTTACCTCAAGAAAATTTAGTCCGATGTCTTCACGGAGTGAGTGGACGACTAGTATTCAGCGTATTTGTAAACTTACATTTACAGTGCAAGCAATGGCTACAAGCCTATATATTATGCGGATACTATGACTAATATCACGTCGTGTCTACGCACACGTGTATATTGTCAGTTGCTTGTCAACACTTCCTGTGTTTGTACTACAAACGTTGCTTCCACATTCCACATCCCTAAAAATAGACCAGTTTCATAATAGCCTAGATTCTTGACGCAAGAAAACCCAAAACCTTTCTTGGAGGTGTGTCCTGTTTGTGCCCTCTGATTGGTCAGTTATTCATACTACAATCCTTAAAACTAAATTTGTAACTAATTTATTCGTGTTACCGACAATGAGATATTATTATTTGTTCGGATAAGAAAAAATATATATAAATATGAAATAAGGCGAAGAAAATTATCTTTTAACTTAACGGAATATGATCTTTACATACAGCTTTATACAAAATTAAGTTGTTTTCTGGTGTTGATATGCGTATGGAAACTATTACGGTCAAACAAGGTACAAGGTGCCTGCTGCTTCAAGAAGTCCAACATGAGTTTTCGAACACTTCAGGTTTTGAAGGTATTTTCATTAATTCCCAATACAAATAAGGTTTCGAAAATGAGGTCTAAAACAACGTTTTTATGGTTAACATGCTGACATTTGCATAGTGGCTTACAGAAGGCAAGAGCATGATTGCATATCTGTTGTTCAGATTTCGATCACAATGTTTTAACTTGATAATTTGTGTGAGTCCGTTTTTCTACTAAATGCGTAATTATTAACTAATTATTGATAACTAGATAAATTTTATTGGTTTCATGTTCGGGACACTGCTTTACATCTAAAACACAAATTGTGCCTCTGAAATTTGACAGTCATGACAATCTATTGAAATACAGTCACACTTGAGTTGCCTTTTTTTAATTTCCATGTATACGTATGTACAAAATATTATATATAGGCTACATGGAAATTTCAATTGCACTTCTTCAGTGTGAATGAGTGAGGTACGTATTAGCTCTGCTTTAACTATTAGACATCCACTGGTTGCTAATACATAGCTACAATTCATGCCTTCATGACATTCGACTTACGTATGATGCTGATTTTGCTAAGGTCATCACAAGTTCTGTCAGAGTGCACATTACATAATGTCATGAAATTTTTTATGATTATGTATTTTTCAGCCCAGACAAAGCTTAAGATGTGTCCGACATTTATCGAAAGTTTCTGGATTGAATGTAAGTACCGGTATACATTTTACTCAGGTTATACCGTATTCGTGTAATATGGCTCTATTATATAAGGACATGGCTCCATTATGACAGGCTCCGCCATCATGCATGATAGCGGAACTTGAAATTAAGACAAGAGATATTATTGGATGAAATGGTCGCGGATGTGGAGGTACTGGTGGACTGCAGAAATGAGCTTAACCCCTGTTAAGCGACCCCAACTGCAGCAACCGCTGCCCTGCACTAACCATTGCCAAGCAACCCATGTTGCTTAACGATGCAGCATCTGCTGCCCTGCAACTACAGTTGCCCAGCAACCCATGTTGCTATGCAGCTAGCGCTGCCAGGCAAGTACCATTGCCAAACCATGAGCGAGGGCAACTATCTCACCATCCGCTGTAAAGCGGACACTAAGCCATCTGCTGTAAAGCAGAATGGATAAATTGGTTCCTGCTGTAAAGCGGGCAACCCTATCCTATATAATTTATAATTTAGGATGTATCCCAAGACGCCAAATGTAACTTGTAATGCAGTCCACCAGCACCCCGCCCATCCGCAACATTTTATTCATGACAACATCATTATATACAAACATAATACTCCAGTAAAGTTCAACCAAATTGACAACTGCATAGCTTGAATAACTTGTAATTAAGGATAACAGGGTGGGTGGGTAGGTGCAACAAACTATAGATGAATGCGCGAATATAACTATGTGTTGTACGGCTGAAAGCTGGAGAGCAAGTGCTGCGTGAGCTGATGTCACGCTACAAGGGGTCATAGAAAATATAAACAAACGCTCCTATACCGGACGTGCCAAGAGCGGATCTAGGCCAGAGACGATGGCACCATGCAAATCAGCACGTAGCCGCACAGAATGAAGGTGTTTAGCTGTAATAATATTAGCAGCTGTGCCAAGCCTGACATAAAGGCATTTAGTTCTAATCACTAAATGCTAATAAGCACTGTCTGACAAGTCGCACAACCAGCCAACAGCCAAAAGAAATACCGATGTATTTGAGATGTGTCTCACGCTTCACTGCCTCTAGGTCCATGCATATGTGAACTAGCTTCCCCATCATTCATCTTTTTCCCTCATTTGAAATGGTAGAAACATAACCCCGAGAAGCGGAAGAAATATTCTTGTCAGGGCCCCATTCCAGAAAGCGATCTTAGCGCTAAGGTCATCATAACTCACATACTTTAACACAATAGTCGTAGTGCTAAGATCACTTTGTGGATTTGCCCAGGACTTGCTAGAATTTGTTCACTTTTGTTTTGGTATTAACGCATCATGATACTTCAGAAGATTTCAAATTATTGCTAGTTCCTCAAAATGTGTCGAGAAGTAGGTTTATGAATATGAATTTTGTTCAGAAGGTCAGTGTTAGAAAGAAGAGGTCCTTGGGCATTGTTGAGATTTGCTGCTATGTTTCCCTAAACATGCTAAACTAACTATTTACTATTTATTACTGCAAGAACTCCATGACTTTCATGTATAATTTTGAACACTGTCATTGGGGTCAACACCCAAATTCTTACATTAAAATGGCCTGGCCTAATGACAGTCATGAAAAACCAAAAACGTGATAATTGCTAGCATTTACCTGTATTCCATGTAATTCCTGTTTTACCTGTATTCACCAGTATTTGTCTGTATTTACCTTCTTTCACCGGCAATCACCACTACTGGTATTTCCCTATATTCACCTGTAGGATGTACTGACACTGTTAGTCTCAGCTGTGAGGACTCCTATATTTGCTGTATTTACCTGCATTCCCCAGCATTTACCTGCATTCTCCTGCATTCTCCTGTATTCACCTGCATTCTCCTGTATTCACCTGCATTCCTCCTGTATTCACCTGCATTCTCCTGTATTCACCTTCAGGATGTAGTGATCGTCTCAGCAGTGAGGACTCCTATATTTGCTGTATTTACCTGTATTCTCCAGTATTTACCTGCATTCTCCTGTATTCCCCTTCAGGATGTAGTGATCGTCTCAGCAGTGAGGACTCCTATATTTGCTGTATTTACCTGTATTACCCAGTATTTACCTGCATTCTCCAGTATTTACCTGTATTCCCCAGTATTTACCTGCATTCTCCAGTATTTACCTGCATTCTCCTGTATTCCCCTTCAGGATGTAGTGATCGTCTCAGCAGTGAGGACTCCTATATTTGCTGTATTTACCTGTATTCCCCAGTATTTACCTGCATTCTCCAGTATTTACCTGTATTCCCCAGTATTTACCTGCATTCTCCAGTATTTACCTGCATTCTCCTGTATTCCCCTTCAGGATGTAGTGATCGTCTCAGCAGTGAGGACTCCTATATTTGCTGTATTTACCTGTATTCCCCAGTATTTACCTGCATTCTCCAGTATTTACCTGCATTCTCCTGTATTCCCCTTCAGGATGTAGTGATCGTCTCAGCAGTGAGGACTCCTATATTTGCTGTATTTACCTGTATTACCCAGAATTTACCTGCATTCTCCTGCATTCTCCTGCATTCTCCTGTATTCACCTTCAGGATGTAGTGATCGTCTCAGCAGTGAGGACCCCTATTGGCTCCTTCCTAAGCTCCCTGGCTGATGTACCTGCCACCCGACTTGGCTCCATCGCCATCAAGGAGGCAGTGGCCAGGGCAGGTATGTGCAGTTTTCAGTTGTCAAATCTTTAGAATATCAAGGAACAATAAGAGGATTTTTGTTTTCGAGTCTTTGTTCTTTGATATTAGGTTAGATACATAATCATGACATGACTCATCTGGTGTGCGAATTTAAGCAATGATTTTGAGATCATTATCCTAAACTTTACACAAAGTAAACAAACAATTCATCAAGGGTTGTAGAAATCAAGGCTTGGGTTAGAACAATAGAAGTATCATGGACTAACCCAACCACCCTTTACTTTATAAGTAAACTAATCCAGAAGCCCACAATAGATACTAAGCTAAGAAACTGCATTAAATGTATTTACAACTAAATTATATACAAACACTAGTGTCTGCCACAATTGTACCCAACAGTTGTGATTGTTGCTAATAATATTAACGATACCATGTTCATGATCCGATACATATCACAGTACACTGTACTTGCATGTGCTGTTATCTGTGGTGTGTAAGCTATCTTTTTCATAGACAGGATGGCCAAATACCTGGCACACTAATGATTTACACTTGGCAGTGTCAAGTGTGGCACAATGGATGAAAATATTTAAATTTTCACCACTAAACTTCACTACTAATTGTTTGTTGTAACAGTTGTTAAAGCAAACATTTAAGGTTAGAATCAATGTTTTTTACTTTGTGTATGACTGTGATTGATACTTGTATCGAGAAGTAAAAAATCATGCTATAACAGAATGCAGCTGTACCTGTCCTGTGATTGTGTGTTGCAGGTATCAGTGTGGGGGATGTGGACGAGGTGTACATGGGCAATGTGTTGCAGGCAGCCCAGGGACAGGCACCCTGCCGACAGGCGACACTGGGCGCAGGTAATACTCACTGGGGCATGGAGTGTTTTGTGGGTGTGTTTAAAGTTCATTTTATTATCATAATTATGGTGCCAAAGGCATGGTTGAAATCATAACGGCATGGTTAAGGTAGTTCAAAATAAAATATGAAATGTTTTATGGATAAGTGTGCCCACAGTTTTTTAGAATTAAAAATAATATGTCTTTTTTTGGTGGTATTTTTGTTTTTCAAGAGATATTGCCAACTTGTTTTATTTTGCCTCTTGCATCTTGGCATTTTGACCAAGGAATCAGTAATACAAGAAGACAAATTGGTCTTACCATTGTTAACCATAAGTAATCTTATGCTACATGAGTGAGTGAGTGAGTGAGGTTTAGTGCCCCTTTGAACTAGGTATACTTCAGTTTTATCACAGCCTGTCAGCTTGGTGTGGGAACAAAGCCTGAAGTGATTCATGTCTTCACCACTCACCACTTTGGTGAAACCCACGATCAGGGTATGGTGCTGACAAACAAGCTGATGAATTTGAGGCCATGATCATAAGATTCTGGCACACTCAAGGGACACAACTCTGCACGGGGAATTTCGGAGACTTAGATGACTGGGCCATGTCCCGTTATGTGTTTGAAGATGTACTTGTGTGTTGCAGGTCTGCCCATTACAACACCCACCTCCACCATCAACAAGGTGTGTGCCTCGGGGATGAAGTCCATCATGCTGGCTGCTCAGAACCTCATGTGTGGCCACCAGGTGAGTCTCACACTTACTATGTACTGTCAAACCTTGTTAGTGTGGAAACCTGTTGGGAAAGTCCATCATGCTGGCTGCTCAGAACCTCATGTGTGGCCACCAGGTGAGTCTCACACTTACTATGTACTGTCAAACCTTGTTAGTGTGGAAACCTGTTGGGAAAGCTTACATGTATAGGAAGAGACAGAATTCTGTATCCATGAGGGGTTCATTCTGAAATTAGTTAATCTCTGTGCTTTCAGTAGGATGGACAGCATTTCACTGTATTTGTGGTATTGCTAATTGTTATGCTGCATTCACAGTCTCATTTTGTTTGACCATTGTTGAAGGTTTGACCAATGTTGAATGTACTGAATACAAAATGTTTGACAGTGTTACACCTTGTGAAATGTTTGACAATATTACAGTTTATATACTGTAGAATATGTTAATAATGTTCTATAATTTAAGTGTTTGATGTTATATATTTTATAACATGTTTGTTATTGTATATATTGGATAGCATGTTTGACAATAGTAAATGTTGTGTAACATGTTTGCCTATGTTGTATGTGTGTAGGATGTGATGGTGGCCGGTGGTATGGAGAGTATGTCCCATGTGCCGTTCTACATGAAGCGAGGACAGACACCATATGGTGGCATCAAGATGATGGTGGGTGACCTTTGTACTTCAACAGCCTTGACTGAATATTTTAAACATTTATAAAAAGAAGGTCAATAAAGAGTTTGCCAAAATCATGTAATTATTTAGCTCTGACAGTCTGAGCCTTCTGAATTATGAGCTGTACAGTTACAAGTGTAACACCGTTGTTAGACTTTGGTTAATTCATCATCCAGTGTCGTACAACATAAAGGTTCATAGGATATTACAACATGTGGGGATTCCAGGTCAGAATAAAGGTCCCAGCAATTATGCTTGTCAAGAGAGAGGTTAAAATGGCTAGGCTCTATGACTTGGAGTATGCATGTCATTGTATCCCAACAGCGGGACTGATTCTCACTATTTAAATGACTGGATTGTCTGGTGCAAACTGCTGTCATTTAGTTGATATTTTGCTGAGAGCAGCGTTAAACAGCAAACAAACATAATATTAATTGTATTCGACTTTGTATTCTTTGTCAAATGAGAAAGCCTAGCTCGCAGGACACTACTATTTTTTTTCCAGGATGGAATCGTGTTCGATGGCTTGACGGATGCATATGATCACATTCACATGGTAAGGAGAACTCAACCTAGAGTTGTTTTGAAGTAAATAAGCAAGTTGGTCAACTGATTCCGTTGAACACAGCCATATAGGAATAGAATCCAGGGAGAGTAGGTCAGATGAGGATTGGGTGGTTGCATTGGCTGATTGCTCGTTGTTGTTCTCGGGCGGTGTTCGTTACACATGCCTCCAAGGCAGGTAGCCTCCTGGTCACCGCATTAGGGATATAGCTGTAACATTGCTGCCTGCAGCGTAAAACAACAGACCCGTGAAGATCCGGGGTTATATAGGTCTTCAGCAACCCATTCTTGCCGTAAAAGGCGACTATGCTTGTCATAAGAGGCGACTTACAGGATCGGGTGGTCAGGCTCTCTGACTTGGTTGATGCATGTCAGTTTATTCCAAATGCGTGGATTGATGCTCATGATGTCAATCACTGGATTGTCTAGTCCAGACTTGATTATTTACAGACCGCCATCATATACCTTGAATATTGATGCGTGCGGCATTAAACAACAAAGAAAGAAACAAAGAAATGTAAAACGACATGCATTCTCACATTCACTGACATGTTCCTTACAACTCAGTTGAAGTGTCATCATTTTGTTTTCAAACAATGATTAGAATCGGCAGACTGGCAACTTATTTAATTTAGAAACATGACTTTTTAATGCTGTACATGTATGCTTTTCCTGACAAATGTTATAAAAGGGAGCTTACTTTGACTGTCTGTCAAAGATTGAAACCGTGAATGTCCAACATGGCCATTGTCTAAGTATATGTAATGAGTGACAAGTTCAGTTTGATCTACTTTATAGAACAGCTCTCGACTTGGGTAAGTTTCTGTGTATGTGACTCCCGGCATTGTTTAGGCTTGAAGTTACTTTAAGGCAGACCCCAGGGGTAGATGTAAGCAAGGATTATATCCTACCTAAATATTATCCTGGGGGAAGTTTTATTATAGAGTATAGTATAGGATAGGACTACACACACTGGTATGGGTTCAAATTCACCAGGAGAATCATCCTGACACTAGAGAATTTCATCCCCAGGATAAAAAATTGGGTAGTATATTCACTCTTACATAGACACCATTGGTCAATCCAACTTGTCCACTGCTCATGTCGGATTAGTCGTTTATGTAAACTAGCTGGCTAGAAAACAACTAGTCCCGCTGGATTTTCACTTGTTTTCACTGACAGACTAGTGACCGTGTCTCCCCTTGGAACCCCACACTCCTTTGGTGCATTGTTTCATGCATCTCATTAACGACTATTTCTCAGAAATAGGTGAGAATATATGGCACTATCATACATAACTGTAGCCCGAGATGGGCAGAGTGCAGATGATGCAATCGTAACTGATTGTGCTGATAAGAATACTGTCATCTTCATAAACTAGCATCCTTTTGTATGTATATTGCATACATTGCATATATTATATATATCAAGAATGTGACGTTGACAAGGATTGCGTTGAGCACCTGATGGACCTCTACGTGTGTGTTGACAGGGAGTGTGTGCCGAGAACACGGCCCGCAAGTACAGCATCAGCCGCGAGGCCCAGGATGAGTATGCTGTCAGGAGCTACCAGCTGAGTCAGCAGGCGGCAAAAGCAGGGCTCTTCCAGAAGGAGATTGTGCCGGTGGAGATTCCCAAGAAGAGAGGTGAGAACAAGAAGGAATGTGCAATGTTTCCTCAAAAGGAGAGACTTGGTGACCTGATCTATATTACAGGTGGGCTCTTAGTGGAGAAAGAACTGTTATCTGTGTGGGAGCATTGTAAAGAATGAAAAAAAGAAAATTTCATGTTAAAGATAGTAAAATGATGCAGAAAAGTGTTGCAATTTGTCAAGGCAGTTTATAATAAAATGCAAAAAATGGAGTAGGAAGTTTGATCCTGGGGTTGGAAGGGAGATTGATCCTGGAGTTGGAAGGGAGTTTGATCTAGGAGTAGGAAGGGAGTTTGGTCCTGGAGTAGGAAGGGAGTTTGATCCTGGAGTTGGAAGGGAGTTTGATCCTGGAGTTGGAAGGAAGTTTGATCTAGGAGTAGGAAGGGAGTTTGGTCCTGGAGTAGGAAGGAAGTTTGGTCCTGGAGTAGGAAGGGAGTTTGATCCTGGGGTTGGAAGGGAGTTTGGTCCTGGAGTGAGAAGGGACTTTGATTCTGGTGTGTCTGTGTTCCAGGTGACCCTGTGACAGTGTCGGAGGATGAGGAGTACAAGAAGGTCAACTTCGACAAGTTCAAGTCTCTCAAGGCCGTCTTCCAGAAGGAAAATGGTAACACAACAGTGATATTGACTACTTGCTCTCCAGAGAGGATAGAGAGGATATCTCTGTAGAGGATATGTTTTTTGTCTGAAATAACAAAGAAGTCTGAATTAGAGAGTTGTAGGTCAGTTTGAGTGATGATAATTTATTAAGGAACTGAGGGGACCAGAGAAAAAGTGCGTTTTTCACCAAAATCCAAATTTGACAGAGAGGTAACTGTAATCAGGTTAACCTGCAAATTCTTCACTGTCAGTAGCCTATACTGTGTAATCAGTGTGCAATTCTCAGGTTGGAATGCCCATAGGAAGACAAGTGATTGAAATACTTGCTGTCATGTAGGACACACTTACCTTTACTAAGGCTCATATGATTGTAATGAAATCCTGTGGAGATTCCAGGTTAGAATAGGTCCCCAGCAAGAGGCGACTACATGGATCTGGTGGTCAGGCTCGGTGATGTGATGGATTGTATGTCATCGTACCCGATGGCACAGGTTGTTCATATTATCAATCACTCATTTTGCCTGATCCATACCATTGTTGTCAGGTTCATGTTATATTGCTAGAATATTGTTGACTGCTGCATTAAGCAAGAAACAAACAAATTCTGAATACTGAGTACAATATGATTATGAATCAGGCACCGTAACAGCTGCCAATGCGAGCACCTTGAACGACGGCGCTGCAGCTCTGGTCCTGATGACAGCGCAGGCCGCTGACAGACTCAAAGTGAAGCCACTCGCAAGGATTCTGGGTAAGTACTACTAAACACAGTGAGCAGAGGAATCCAGGGTAGAGTAGATCCCCAGCACCATATGCTTGTGAAAGTAGTGACTATTGATGATCACGTTACAAGAAGTGACCTGGCTGATGGTGTTTATGGTAACCTCATTATGTAGAATGTTGCTCAACCACTGATTTGCTTGGCCCAGATTGAATATTTACAGACCGTCATGATATAGCTGGAATATTGCTGACTGAGGAACAAAACAATATGTGGACTTCCTTGGAACAATATAGAGGCAATCTCCTGGTTTAAGGGGGACACGGGTGTCCCAGTCGTCTAAGGCGCCGCGATCCACTGTGCAGAGTTGCGTCCCAGAAACCTATGATTGTGGGTTCGAATCCCGGTTAGTCCCGATTATGTTTCTAGGTTTGTCAGCACCATACCCGTGCTCATGGGTTTCACCGAAGTGGTAAATGTCTGAGACCTGCATCACTTCACTCTGGTTTAAGCCCATCCCTGATATACACCGAAATTACTTCCAAGGAGAGCAGTATGATGAGGCCATTACAGATGATGGGTCATCCAGAAAACTATACTTCTCAACATTTATAGGGATATTCAAGTGACCACATGAGGAAAATAGGTGAAGTGTTTAAAGATGTGAAAAGTTTACAATATTGCCAGGAAACTGTCACATTTTCAGCTTCATTTTAAGCTAAGATGGCCATAACTACATGTTGCCATAAGTCTCCTGACTTTTCAGTGTGATCAATTGACAATGTTGTACACCTTATATAGTGACACATGTCTGTTTTGAATAAGCTCCCCATACCCATGCTCGTGGGTTTCACCCAAGTGGTAAAGGTCTGAGACCTGCATCACTTCGGGTTTCTTCTTGCATTAGGCTGACACGCTGCGATATTACTGGAATATTGTTAAAAGCGGCGTGAAACCCAACTCACTCACTCACTTGAATAAGCTAATGAAATGAGGCCATGTAGGGCTCCTGGAAGTCCGGTTTACGAACTTTGTGCCTGACACTGAAGCAGTGTGTAGGGCACATGTTGCTCTGTGAAGCGAGAAACATTTCTGTTTGTGAGATCTGAGTGTTCACTGGCTTCCTTCTTGCTGCAACAGGGACTTTGCTTCATTGGTTATACATAGTTTCACTGCTGTGTGTATTCAAGGGTAATGAAAGAATAGTGTATGCAAACCTGTCAAGTATTTATGAAGTACAGCTCTGTTACTGTATCTGTTGGTGGTATATATATTGGATATATGCCCTCTCTGGCATTCAGAACATATTTAAGAAATTCATGACTTGCTTTACTGTGATGAAGAATTTGTATTATTTGAGTGAATAAAAAGAGAGTATGGTGGCAAGTCTCTCTGAGAGAAACACTAAACTTTGTTTTTTATTCTCCACCACTCAACAACAAATGGTAATATGAAGTACAATGAAAACATTGTGGCATTATGTTGCAGGTTTTGCTGATGCTGCCATTGCACCCATTGACTTCCCTACTGCTCCAGCCAAGGCTGTGCCAAAGGTAGGATGCTTTATAATAGGCATAGTCGTGACAGAAGGAATGAATAGTGCTTGTCCAACATCCATGTTGGGATTCCAGGGCAGACTAGCCCTGAGTGCTTGTCCAACATCCATGTTAGGATTCCAGGGCAGGATAGCCACCGAGTGCTTGTCCAACATCCATGTTGGGATTCCAGGGCAGACTAGCCCCTGAGTGCTTGTCCAACATCCATGTTAGGATTCCAGGGCAGGATAGCCACTGAGTGCTTGTCCAACATCCATGTTAGGATTCCAGGGCAGGATAGCCACCGAGTGCTTGTCCAACAGCCATGTTAGGATTCCAGGGCAGACTATGCCCTGAGTGCTTGTCCAACATCCATGTTGGGATTCTATGGACAGGCGAGGCCCTGAGTGCTTGTCCAACATCCATGTTGGGATTCTATGGACAGGCGAGGCCCTGAGTGCTTGTCCAACATCCATGTTGGGATTCTATGGACAGGCGAGGCCCTGAGTGCTTGTCCAACATCCATGTTGGGATTCTATGGACAGGCGAGGCCCTGAGTGCTTGTCCAACACCCATGTTAGGATTCTATGGACAGGCGAGGCCCTGAGTGCTTGTCCAACATCCATGTTGGGATTCTATGGACAGGCGAGGCCCTGAGTGCTTGTCCAACACCCATGTTAGGATTCTATGGACAGGCGAGGCCCCGAGTGCTTGTCCAACACCCATGTTAGGATTCTATGGTCAGGCGAGGCCCTGAGTGCTTGTCCAATATCCATGTTGGGATTCTATGGACAGGCGAGGCGAGGCCCTGAGTGCTTGTCCAACATCCATGTTGGGATTCAGTGTGTGTCACTGTGTCACTGTATGTCACTGTGTGTCACTGTGTGTGTGTCACTGAGTGTCATTGTGTGTCATTGTGAGTCATTGTGTGCTCCTCTCTGTGAAGGTCCTGGAGATGACGGGGGTCAACAAAGACGACATCGCCATGTGGGAGGTGAATGAAGCCTTCAGTGTTGTGGTCCTCGCCAACATCAAAGAGTCTGGCCTTGACCCCAGCAAGGTGAACATTCACGGAGGAGCTGTCAGTATCGGCCATCCTATTGGGTGAGTCAGAGAAAATTTCAATGTTAGTGAAAGTTGTGTATAACTCTGTTAGGACCTTTTGAGCAAATGAGGTGTCACTCTACTTCCGGAGTTTATGTAGGATTAGAGCTATGTAATGCAAGAAACACCATAAATAGTCTTCAATTATAACGCCTGTACATGAATTTGTCTTTGGCAAGATGAGAGGAGTTTTGATCATAGGTTAGTTTGTTTTCTTAACCTTAAAATGATTTAAGTAATAACACGTATCTGATTCCGTGTGTATTCCAGTATGTCTGGCGCTCGCATCACCGGCCACATGGCACACAACCTGAAGCCTGGACAGAAGGGCATGGCCAGTATCTGTAATGGCGGCGGGGGAGCTTCGGCCATCTTGATTGAGGGACTCTGAAGTTGGCCAACATAGTGACAAGCATCATATCAACAATGGTTGCCTGAGCATCATGTAAGGGTTGTGTGAATAGTATTCTCAGATGAATGGATTTGGATTATTTAATATTGTTCACGAAGGATCATTGTTAATAAGTGATATTATTTACACAGATTTATACAATTATGTTGCATTAGGAGTTTTGAGGATTTAGTAATACCAGTAATATCCACTCTCTTAAGGATTTTGTTTAACGTGGTATCATTGGTATTACTGTAATAATGGTAACAGGTATTTTCTTGCAAATCTTTCTTTTTCTGTTATATCATTATTAAGAGAATTGTTATCTTCCAAACATTTCTGGCTTGACTTAGTATCATATGAAATTTTGAGCTTTATTTATAGTCAGTATTAACAATTTGTCCTGCTAGGTGTGAGGGGCATTATGATACACTTATCCAACACGATATTCGAGTCATGAATAGCAATACTCAATTGATCTAAATGGCTCAGCTAACAAGAGGTTGTTGCTATTGACCAGATTGTGTTTAACTTGCATTACTTTTTAATTTAGGTTTGTTCTGATAGTTTCCTGCAGTCAGAAGTAACCATTTTGTCATGTCAGGTTTTGAAAAACATATAAAAAAATTAGTTTGAAAATAATTCAGAAAACATGAATCGATACATGGGTAGGTGTATCATGTATCATCATCAGGTGTAAATTTGTGATGCCTCGGTGAATCGTGACGGTGCAACTGGATGTGAAGGTGAGAAGTGACCAGGGGATGATACTCGTTCCTGATGACGTACAGGCCATATTGACTATGGTACAGTATGCATCATGGTACACAGCTGGCAACATTATTGATATATATTTTGTATATGGGGCATTAGACGTAAAGCTTGTTGCATGGGTAGGAGTGTCCGGGTGAATCACAACATCTCTGTGTTGAGGAGAGCCTTGTGGAGTGTGTGTGTGTGAGCGTGTTGAGTGTTCTGTGTATGACCTAGTATCATCAAGTGCTACATGTAAATACTGTACAAAACAGGAATCTCACAGCAGTCATTATATACATGTACTGAAATTACCGTTCTCACTTTAAGAAACTAAAACTGTATTAGATTTGTGTCAAGCTAATTGTCAGTTTTTGTGAATAAAGACTTGGAGAAATTCTTTTTCATGTGTTTTTTGTGCCTTGGAATTATCTCACATGCTATGAATGGTTGGTTGGTTGGTTGGTTGGTTTGTTGTTTAACGCTGTACTCAGCTATATGACGGCGGTCTGTAAATAGTCGAGTCTGGACCAGACAATCCAATGATTGACATCATGAGCATCGATCCACGCAATTCGGATCGATGACATGCATCAACCAAGTCAACGAGCCTGACCACCCGATCCCGTTTGTCGCCTTTTACGACAAGCATAGTTACCTTTTACAGCAAGCATGGGTTGCTGAAGACCTATTCTACCCTGGAATATGAATGATTCATGTTAACTATCATCTGGTTGGCTATGATTGACTTTGAATTATCTTTGAAGATGTTTGGATACAAACAGATTGAGCAAGCCTATGTGAGCCCTGAGTAATTTAACTAAGATGCTTCTTCCTGTTCTATCGGTCAATATGCATTCATGGTAGAAAAGAAAATCTCTTAAACACTGTCTAAATATATATACCAAAACAGGATGTGAAAAAGAAAGACGTAAAAATATTTATGTTGGAAACCATGGTCATCAAAATAGTTTCCTCCATGTGGAGATCCATTTCTTTCTTTGTCAAATAACGTAAAGTCACCACAAAGAAAGATGTCATATCTTCTTATTCAACTACTTCTATGGCAACTTTAATTCGGACAGCACTGTCTAGATAAAGGAATCATCGGTAGATAGATTTACTACCCGGGTACCCAACACCCTATTATGCGACCATACCCAGGTACCCGTTGAACCTGTCTTAACTCAAACATATAAAAGTCACAAGCAATGTGTGCATGGTCAGAAGGAAATGTGAACATAAGAGGCTTGTAGAGTAGCCATGGAGTGATTTTTATTGTGTTTGTCATTAATCAATATACCACGTAACTAACCAAGGTCCGGGTAGTCCTGTAGTACACAGCTCCTACTCAAAATCCACCCAACCCGAGTACCCAAGTAACCTGTCCCAGCTCTTGGACATAGTCATGTCCCTGTCACTATCTAACACTGTCCCCAACAATAGTCATCTGGAAGACGGGGGTTTCCAAACCAACTAAGTTTCACTGTACTTGCAGTGGACAGGACAAAATGCCAAACAGGTAATAAAAAGTATTCATGTAACAAGAAAACCAATTTGCAATTGAAAATATTGTTTAATGTACAAAATGTATTTATGTACACAATATGAACAAAACATCTGAAGACTTCTTGGAAGCTTGTGATACAAACAATATATGATACAAACTGTACATGAGAATGATTTGCCATTTAGGATGGGGAGGGGAGGCAACTGCTGTAGGGCTGTAACAATACAGTGAAGCATGTCATGCTCAGGATCTGTATTCTATCATGGAACAAACAAGATGTAGTGAACATGGGTCTATTAAACTAACAACAGATTGAAATTACTGACATTCATTTTCACGCCACATAATAAAAGTTGTGATACTTTCTGCCATGTTACAAAGACTATCGTGCCACAGTCAGCAGGCCACACTCCACAATCTTGACTGACACAGGCAAACCAGCAAGCCATGAGTTTATGATACATGTAGCACTAAATTGTTATGGCTGCAAGACTTCCTGCCTTCCCCACATTCAAACAATTCAAACAAACTTGGACTTTTCATGAAAGTGTCTCATTTGCCATTTTTATCTCCACTTCGACCATGGGATAAAATGACTAATCAAATACCAACAATCATTCAACAATAAGAAAATGAATGTTTGGACATCTTAGTTGTAACAATAATTCTGACTATGGAAGAGATGGAGACAACAGTGGTAAGAAGTTACCAACAATAAATATATGATTGCAGTAAACACGGCTGTATGACAAAACCGTCATGTCTTTCTCCACCTTAACAAGAAGCAGTGAGTATCTGAGCCAAACTGAACTTCACAGAATTTTGACTTGAACAAATGTTTATTTATATAAGCTGACTGTACTCCACATCATGCCTAGGAATTCTCATTCAGGACTATTTTTCTGCCTGAAGTCATCAAGAAGCCACCAAATAGCCCTGACAGTCCAAAAGGGCTCACTCCAGCAGGTTACATTATGAAAACGTGCAGACAAAGTAGTAAAATATTTGAACACATTTTGAGATCATTCATTTTTGGCATGTTCAATTTTGTTCCCATAGTAACAAGGAAAATATGCCTACAAACATAGCTGACTTTCAAAGTGTTGAACATTCAAACACCTGCCATGGTTGTCCTGATTATCAAGTCACTTGATAACCATAACTGTTCTAATGTTAGAAACATCCTACTTATACCAACACTAAAACAACTCAACATATCTTGTAAGATGGGAGCTGATAACACTCCATCACCAACAAGCAGTTCTCAGAGGGCCACTTTCAGAAACAAGTACATGTACATCGTATTTGACCTTTCAAGCACACGGGGCACATAAAACATTTCAAACAAATTTCATGGTTATTTCATACTCCATTTCCTTTGAACTTCCATAAAGCTTATGAATGTTTCTGAATACTACAACATATATTACAAAAATAAATCCTTATGATAACTTATATCACTTGAAACTGGTTTCAAACCATGGGTAGGCTGACGTTATTAGATCAAGGTGTTTGATACGTCAATTACCGTAAAGTATTTACAATACATGACTATGTTGTTCTGTTTGAGGGTGTTCTCATAAAAGGATGCCAATTTAATAATTTTGACAATCTAAACATAAACAGCTTATGCAAATTATATCCAACTTGATGATATCCAGAGAATAGCAACAGCAAGATGTCACCACACATTCTTCACAATTCAAGACATTGCTGACATGCAACACTTGGTCAAGTATGTCCTCCTTAACGATGAAAACGAAACAAAAGGAAGAATACAAACAAACAAGTGTTGTAACTGGGACACGACTTCATGTACGGTAAACAATGTCATGTTAGTGTCTTAATGTTTTAACATAGGTAATTAAATGTTGCTGTAAGATAGCTGTTGTTTTATAACTCAAATAATTGTACTATGTGGTATTCATGAATGGAAAATGATGGTGTATGATGCGTATTTGCCATTTGAATAAAAACCAAGTTACATGCTTGCTGCCTTGAACAAAAAGTTGCAAAAATGTGCAGTTGTAAAACGACATATGAATGATGACCCTGTGTCAGTGATCTTGATCTGCGGTCTGGTGATGAAGTGAAGGATATCAAGGAGTCTGAGATCAGTAGATTTTCTGTATGTATAACAGTGGACTCTAGCTATCCTGGCGTGGAGGGGGACAACAGGACTCTTCCATTTCAACAGAATGAGTGAGTTGGGTTTAACCCAAGCTGAAAACCCAGGTTTATGTATTTGTTGTTTAATGCCACAGTAATATTCCAGCTCTATTACGGTGGTCTGTAAATAATCGAGTCTGGATCAGACAATCCAGTGATTGATATCGTGAGCATCGACCAATGCAATTGGGATACGATGACATGCATCAACCAAGTCAGTGAGCCCTACTATTGATGCCTTACGTCGCCTCTTTGACAAGCATGGGTTGCGGAAGACCTGCATAACCAAGGATCTTTGGACCATAATTGTAAAACATTTGAGATTTGACCCCAAGACCATAAGTTCCTGGCATAGCTAAGGGATGCTACTTTGATACAAGCTAGGTCGAACTAGTTGACCCTTCTACATTTCATCCATACCTTATTTGTCAGTCGCCATCCACAAGCGACCAAATCAGTCGTTTAGTTGGAAATTAAACCTTGTGACACAAATAAATATTACACATAAATTTGTCCATTAATATTCTTTCAAATTGGGTTTTCTGTTGCACAACTATCTGTGCACAAACAATTCAAACAAATGAAACTGATATGCTTCTGACACACGCCTTCCATACATCCATGTATTCACAAGGGATGATACTGTTGAAATGTTTTTTATCAACTGTACATTTTGGCATCAGTTGAAAATAAAACGTCTCCTGAAAACTTTTAAGCAGGAGCAGAAATTATCCAGTAGATCTAGCAAAACTTGTCTGTAATGGAAGTTGTGATGATAATCCAAAGACACTGATATTTCGCCAAACACAGCGATACACATAAGATATCACTTAAATCTGAATATTTTTTTTAACTTTTACCTGAATGTTATCAACGTTCTTGCAATAAGAAACCAAGCACTTGCACAACTTGCACAATAGCAAGAATTGATGCCGAGATGTTTTTCAAAGTGGATCAAGAAAGAATATCTGTTGAAATGTATTGCTGTCTGTATAAAGTGGCACCCATATCCTAATGACAAGGCAACGTTTCAGCGATTTATCTCATCAGTGGAACTAGAGAGGATCATGTTCTACATCGTGACTTAAGAGTTGATAGCCAGCGTTAGCTGGGGCCGTGGGTGACATCAGATTATAACTAGAGTCCACTGGAGTTAACTTGTTGAGGCCAGACTAATGAAATTCCTTGTTTAATATACTACTCAAACCAAGTTAATCTGTCATGGCTGGTGGGTATTGCAACCACATCCTTCCAATTGTGGGTGTTCTTTAACTTGTTTTGAGTAGTATGTATTTTCTTGGCCAATTTGCAAAATGTCTAGAGGCTGAAAACAGAACCAAAAATGTTTTGATTGGAGGTCAGTTATGCCAGAGACTCCCTAAACTAAAAATACAACACAAGGATTGTAAAAAAATAAAGTATCATTCCTTACTTTCATTGTGTTTTTCATTAGGGAAGGTGTGTCAACAAAAGACTGAAATTATTAGTCTGGCCTAAATACAAGAAAGAAAAATGAGAAAATGTTTGAGATAATTTAGCCTACATGTTAAGCATGTCATGCTCACCATGTAGAGTGATCCACCGTAATGCTGACAGTGACGCCTTCCACACCAACAGTTATATAACCCTCACAAGCCATCTGGGATAAACATAGCACTAGGAATGTTGTGTGGAGGCAGTGAGAATCTGTTTGTGAATACTTTGATTGTCAAACTCAGTGTCATATGTGAAACACAGTGTCCAGCCAGCAGTACTATAGGGACTAAATACCACCTGCAAATAAACCTTCACCCACCATGTGTCATTACAACAGGGTCCAACTCCATTATAGTCAGTGTCTCAGAGTTTTTCCACAGAGATATGACTTAACACTGCATTGAAACTAATAGCTATTTGGACAAGGACAAAAAACTAGCGTAATGAAGGTTTATAGTGGGCTTGTCCTTGTACCACAACATGATCTTAGCACTATGACCACATTCAACAAAGCAATCTTAGAGCCACGACTCTTCAATCTCCCATACTTGAACGTACACTTACGACAGTTGTAGCACTAAGATCACTTTGTAGAACAGACCCCTGGATCCCATTCTACAAAGCAATCTTATAGCCACGACTCTTCGATCCCCCATACTTGAACGTACACTTACGACAGTTGTAGCACTAAGATCACTTTGTTGGTTGTACTATGGACCAGCTGTTGTCGACAGTGTGATGCAATGGTTATTACACAAGTTTCGTGTACACTGCTGCCAGTGCAAGGAATGTTGTCACACATCACTCCCATTCACAGGGTCGTAGTTGATAGGAGCGCTGTTGTAGTTGTGAGCTCCTCCGTACTGCTCACTGTTGCGCAGCTTCTCCGCAGCTTCCAGAAGCTTCTTCTCGTACCACCCATTGACATGAGACTGGATGTTGACTGGCTGCCTGGGGGTATGCTGTTCATAATTGGCATTCGAGGAGTAGTTGAATGCTGGAGTACTTTCCTTTGGTGGGGAAAATGGTGAATTTGTTGCAATGACTGGTGTAAAAGGGGAACTACTCTGATTGGAATTAATGAAAGGGGAATCACTCTGAGTCTGAGGCACAAATGGAGAATTGTTCTGACTGGGTGTTCCTGTTGAGAGGCTACGATCCATGCTGAATGATGAAGATGGGGTTCCACTGTTGCTAGGCAACCCATTGGGACTCTGTCCCAGATAAGGTAGCTTTGCCTTACTACTGTAGCCGGAGTCCTGGTTGCTGCTACAAGTCGAGTCCTCCTTGTTCTGAAGATATGTAGGGTTATATACACTTGTCCTTGGATACGGACTCTCGTGACGTAAACACTCTGCCGGGGACAGATTGAAGCTATCCTGAGAGTTGTTGCCTGTGTTAGTCACATTGTTACTGTGGTTACTCACATGGTTAACTACGGTATTATTGTTATCACTGATTTTGCTGCTCCCAAATCGTCCCGACACAGGCGTCACACTGCCTGTTCGTGTGGGGGCATTGTTGTTTGGACTATTTACAGGGTAATTGCTATAGTTACCACTTTGGCTATGGTTTGTGGTGGAATTAGTATTATTGTTACTAGCACTGTTTCCTTGGTTACCAGAAAGATTAGCACCTGAGTCGGCATAGCGATAACCGTATGGTGGCGGTTTGCTTGGCCGTGATTTCACGTCTGTATTTTCACTGTTTTTTAACAAGTTATTCTCTGATTTGCTCACAGAGTTTTGTATTGGCATACTTTCATAGTTGCCGTAGTTACCTTTATCACCATGGATACCATACATACTCCTGTACGGTGGTCGATCTTTGTTGAACTGGGAGATATCAGCATAATTACTGTCTCTTCCTGACTCCCGAACAGGATCTCTCCGATATGAACTATCATAAGCCTGAAACCCTGGTTTTGGGGAGGGGGACGTTGTGTAGGCCGGGAAGCCGGGTTTGGGTGATGGAGCAGATGTATAGGCCTGGAAGCCTGGCTTGGGAGATGGGGTAGCAGCATTTGTCGGAAACCCTGGTTTAGGAGAAGGTGCAGTAGTTTTCACACTGTTGGCAACTTTCTGCATCTCTCTAACACTTGCATAGGGGCTCTCTCGGTATCCAGCCATACTGTTCCGAGCAGGAGCCAGATTGGCACTTGCTGACGGGTTGTTGGTTGGAGGAACCCTGTATGCTACACCATGTTTGTTTTCGGGCACACCATGCTGGAAGCCAGATGATCTGGGAGCTGGATGTGTCACAACGCCACTCTTGTCACCTCCTCCACTGTTCCTGTCCACCTCATCTAACGGCCTGTCTAGGCTCTTGCTGCGAGACACATGCTGGGCGAACGTCTCCTTGTCGTCTGCCAGCAGAGTGTCGGTTGACCGTGTCCTGGGCTTGTACTTTGGCATCGGAGCCTCTTCCAAGTACATGTAGGCCTGATTATTCCTCTGGTTGTATCCCCCTACAGGTGAGGGAGCCTTACTGCTGTGATTCATGCCAGCATTGTTCTGTGTGAAGCCCGCATTGTTCTGTGTGAAGCCTGCATTGTTCTGTGTGAAGCCTGCATTGTTCTGTGTGAAGCCCGCATTGTTCTGTGTGAATCCAGCATTGTTCTGTGTGAAGCCACCATTGTTCTGTGTGAAGCCACGAGTGTTCTGGTTGATGCCACCATTGTTCTGAGTGAAGCCAACATTGTTCTGACTGAAGCCACCACTGGTGTGTTTGAAGCCCCCACTGTTCTGCCTAGCAAACATGGTGGGGTTTGGCAACTGCCCAGTGCTAGGTTTGGGAGGCTTTTGGGGAACCTCCGGTGCACCGGGCATGTTTCTTGTGTTTGGAGGTCCCCTTTCGGATAAATTTTGCTTTGGCATTGACATATGATTACTGAGAGCACCAGAGTCAGTATGACTGCGAAGTATTGGCCGAACACTTGAACGAACATCCAATGGGCTCCCTTCTCTAGAACGAGAAGCTCCATGCACTTGCGGACTTACCTCACGCGACCTGCTCAGTTCTGGTTTTGACTGAGAAACAGGATGCTGCCAAGAGTGAGAATGAGGCAACCGTTTCGGAATAGCTCCTTGATTTCCTGTCTCTCTCTTGATAGCACTGACATCAATGGGAGAGTTTGCACTTGGAGAGGTCATATTCTGATAGTGTCCCATCATCTGGCGATTAGGACTGCCCTCATATTTAGGTGAAGCTCCGTCTGCTATTCTATCCATCTTTCCGTGAATCTCGGCCTTGGTGACAGTCACATTATTGTTGATGGTGTTGTTATTTCTCTCCCGCCGTCTCGCACTCTGGCGGTAGGATGGCACCTGCCATGCTCGTATCAGCTGCATAGCTTCATGACGAGATTCGTAAAAGTCTTTCTTCCGATATTTTCCACTATAATCGGAAACTGAAAGCGTTTCATCTGACCGTGATCTAAACAACCGCCCGTTTTCATTTTCATGAAAGTCTGTGAACATTGTCCTTGGAGGTAATGCCGAATCGTCATGGTGATGATTTAAACAATGTCCATATGATGCAAGTTTCGAATCAAGCCAGGTCTGAATCTGTTCATTATATTGGTTGAACATATGCCGAGTGTCTTTCCGTTCATGATGCAGATGTTCCTTGATTCGACTCTGGCACATCTTGTGTTCATTCTCCAGCCTCTCCTTGGTGAGTTTGTCAATAGCGAACACCTGCTGTGCTGTGCGTCTATCAAGGTGGTCGATTTGCCCCTTGAGAAGCTGATGAGAAGCATTAGTGTGGTCCACCATGTTGTCTCGGTTTGTCTCGATCTTGTGCTCCAGACGCTTCAAGGTGGGTCCACATTGACAGAGAGGAGTGTAGCCCACTGGGCCCTGCAACAACCAAACGATAAAGAGCATGAGCGTTTGTTACTATATCAGCTAAATGAGGGACGAAAGCCCAGAGTCATGTAGATACAGATCTAGTCATAGATATGGATGTAGACAAAGATGTGGATGTAGATGTGCTGTTAATGTATCTGACAGAACAGTTGACTCCCTGACTTGAATGAATGCAGTGAGTTTGGTTTAACTTCACTTTGAACAGTATTTCAGTTTTATCACAGTGTGTCAGCTGCAATGCAAGTGGCACGTCTCAGATGTTTACCATGATGGTTAAACCTAAAAGCTCGAGTGTGTGGTGCTGACAAACCTAGAAACACAATCAGAGAAAACCAGGATTGGAAGCCATGATCCTAGGTTCCTGGCATGCCTTAGGGAGACAACCTTGCAGAGTGAACTGCGGCACCTGACTGTGGCCCCCGAGGGTGTATGACTGAACATCTGGCGAGAGAACTGACCTGTTTGATGTTCCCGGCCAGATCCCGGTAGTACTGTATCCCGGTCTGCGGCACATACTGACTGAAGAACCCCTGCACGGCCGACGGCTTACTCCAGGGCTGGGCGGGACCAGAGTTGTCCCCCCTCGGAGAGGGGGTCTGACCGGGACCCTTCATCATAGGGGGAGGGGTCTTTTCCTTGTCCTAGAGGGTAGGAAGTTACATTCATACATGTCCATAAATTGGTTTAAGGAATCGTGGATAAAGAGTAGTTGTTCATCAAATCAAGACGACCATGTTTCCTCTTACAGATGCCAAGTCAAAACCAAATCGGAAGAGAGGCTGTGTCGCTAACAGATAACTGGTTGAGTAAAACAATACATTGATGTTCCCTAAGTAGAAACATGAATATCCAGTCAGAAGTAGTCCCTAATTTACAAATATTTCTTATACAGTATTAAACTAATGCTACTTTTTTAATTAATTGGTCAACCAAATGCTTAATTATATACCAAATTGAAACTAATTTCAACAAACCAATGTCTGATAAATATAGAAAAGAGTTGATGAGAATAGTTTTGTTTCACATTTCCCCAAAACTACTTACTATCTTAATCTGTTCATGATATTATTTACTCACCTTTTTCTTTTTCTTGAAGAAGAAAAATTTGCGGTCCTTTTCTGGCTTCTCGGATTTGATTGGCTGTTCATTGTCCAGGACAACTACCGGCCCTTCCATATCCACCTGGATCTCATCCTTGAAGGTCACCACGTTAGGGTGGGTTCGGGTCATAGGTCGAGGGGACTTCGGAGACTTGGGAGTTTTGGGCTGCCAGAGGTCAAACAGGGTCAAACATTGACATACAAGTTGAATGATAAAAAATAGTAAGAAAAATGGGAATCATAATTCTGGTTGAAATTGGAAAGATAAGACTTTTTTTTAATTTAGGTCTCTGTTGAGATTTACCAAGAGTTCTTCCCCTTCCACCACTGATGTCCAACATGTTTGTAATTACTCTGTATCAGAAACAGTCAGCTGCATTCATGGACAAGTGAGTTTCCTTCCTAAACCCATACACGAATAACTGTAGCTATTTACCCGAGCAAAGGACTGGATGATGATAATTATCTCTGGGTGTTCCTTCCTACGAGCGACATCCATTGCCGTCTCATTTTGCTGTAAAATTAACATGCTCCATAGTAGACACAACCGTGATGGGACAACATATGACAATAACAACTGAAATAACATCACTCAACATTAAAGGAAAAATATCACAATTCAATAATAAAAATAATTGAAAAGGTAACTGGTTATAGACAAAATTTAAAGAAGGAAATACTATCCACATACAAAAAAGTTATTGGCTTATAATATATATCATCTTTATCACTTAGCAGTGGTAAAAATAGCACTGGATTGATAAGAAAGAATTTGACTGATGTTCAGACCTATGTTATGTACCGGTGGAAGTCCAGGATGTACCTTCCTTTTCATCATCCAAGTAAATTCCCTCGGTCATGATAGATTGTTGTAGAGGGTCAAGAGCGAGTAGGTAAATAATCTGTTTATAGCATACCTTATTTTTTATCTGAACATCAATGCCAGATTCCACTAGGAGTTTGGCAATCTTCCTCCTCTTGAGGGCCGAAGCAATGTGGAGGCAGGTATCCCCATTCTGTACACAAGAATACAAATAAAGTCACTGTTTCAGAACTCCATCCTCTTTCAAGCAAATTCAAATAACACTGGTTGAAGTCCATCCTTCCAGATACCCAGTCCTTCATCCCACTCGCCCATCACACCTCCCATTCCCCAAACCACGATCCTACTGACACTCACACCTACCACCCACTCCCTCACTCACCCATCACTCCTCCCATTCCCCAAACCACGACCCTACTGACACTCACACCTACCACCCTCTCCCTCACTCACCCATCACTCCTCCCATTCCCCAAACCATGACCCTACTGACACTCATACCTACCACCCACTCCCTCACTCACCCATCCACATGTCATACCATCTCGGCATTCACCAGCTCACTCACCCACTCCCTCACTCACCCATCCAATTGTCTTACCATCTCGTCATTAACCAGCTCACTCTCCCACTCCCTCATTCACCCATCCACTTGTCATACCATCTTGTCATTAACCAGCTCACTCACCCACTCCCTCACTCACCCATCCACATGTCATACCATCTCATCATTCACTAGCTCACTCACCCACTCCCTCACTCACCCATCCACATTTCATACAATCTTGTCATTCACCAGCTCACTCACCCACTCCCTCACTCACCCATCCACATGTCATACCATCTTGTCATTCACCAGCTCACTCACCCACTCCCTCACTCACCCATCCACATGTCATACCATCTTGTCCTTCACCAGCTCACTCACCCACTCCCTCACTCACCCATCCACATGTCATACCATCTTGTCATTAACCAGCTCACTCACCCACTCCCTCACTCACCCATCCACATGTCATACCATCTTGTCATTAACCAGCTCACTCACCCACTCCCTCACTCACCCATCCACATGTCATACCATCTTGTCATTAACCAGCTCACTCACCCACCCCCTCACTCACCCATCCACATGTCATACCTTGTCATTTACCAGCTCACTCACTCACTCACCCATCCACATGTCATACCATCTCATCATTCACCAGCTCACTCACCCACTCCCTCACTCACCCATCCACATGTCATTTACCAGCTCACTCACTCACTCCCTCTCTACACATCTATCTGGAGAGGGCAGCAGGTTGGTGTGAAACCTGACTCTGGATCAATGCTACAACATGACAGGGCGAGGCCCCAGTGGTGGCCCAGTGTTGTGTGAGACAGGGACAGACAGACTCCTCACTGTTTATAATGCCTGTCTGTGAAACTAGCAATAGAAAACTGATTTGTTTATTTATTCTTTGTGACATAAAAATAAAATAATAATTTGTCTTTATCATGGCATAAACCATGTCTTTTCAAGTACTCCTCTCAGAGAAGAAAAAAATAATCATAGAATTCTTCAGATGTAGATTGTATTCATTTTGACTCACAATTTTTGATGTTTCACACCGAATGCATATTTTATCATAAATATCCACACTATATGAATCAATGAGAGAGTAAGGTTTTACGCCGATTTGAACAGAATTCCAGTTGGTGTGTCATATCAATGTGGGAGGAATGCCTGAAGTAATGCAGGTGTCAGACTACTTTGGTGAAACCCACGAGCACGGGTATGGTGCTGTGGTTGATGGCAGGAGCTGCCGGGTATAATGACACACGATCAACCTGGCCACAGATGGCACCCACTAGTCCCTATCAGCTCAAAGGACAAGCTTCAGTCATGGGATCCATTCTGACCTGACCTCCCTACAGGGTTAACAGGCTACAGATCCAAGAAGGGTAATATGTTTAACAAACATGCACATGGATACATGAAAGGTGGAGGAGCCTGTCTGCACTGCAGCCTTGTAATCGAGGAGCTCCACAAAGTGCAGAGGTCACAGTCCACAGAGAAGAGTCAGAAATATCTCAGACTACCCTAATTCCACTGCCTATTACTGCACACTAGGATGCCCCTTGGAATGGATGCTGATACTGACGGCAACACAACCGGTCATAATGTGAACACCTGTATTTATTTTGGCTTGGCAACTGGAATTTTTTCCTTTACAATGTGTATATATGTGTGTAATCTATTCACGCCTTACAAATAAAGCTGTAAATAATAATCCTTTTTTAATAAACAAGTTTTTAAAATGAATGTTTGATAAGGTGTAGCGAGCATTGGAGCAGTAATGGAGGTTATACATGAGCCCCACATACATCAAATGGGCAGAAACATTTGTGTGAAAAGAACCCAAATTCAGAAATAGATTTCTTTCAAGTAATATAAAATCATATTTGCAGACGCATCCAGTGGAATCAAGTGATAAGACTACGTAACCGAGACTCTTGAAAACTAATTACCTAGCTACAAACTCTGGCTGCATTAAGTCATCTGTTGGCCCAATTTGTATTTGCATCCGTTTCTAATCCTGCCTTACCAAGATGCCTCACACGCAATGTCATAAAATTGCGTAAGATTTTTTTCCTCCACTCCCCCTATGAAGAAACTGAAGCTTACATCAAACGTATGACTGTGAGAGAGAAGTTGTTGCATCAAAAATAAAAATGGGAGTACAAAGTGTTGCTTTATTCACGGATGCAACTACATTTGACCTTTGACACTTAGGGATGTCCGTGGTGTATGCATTTCAGAAACATATTAACATGATGGGAGTTAAATAAGTTCATTCATTTATGTAATTTAGAAACCCTTTTTAAGGCAAGGGTGAGTCACCAATATAATCATTTTCATAATTAAATAATTAAAGTTTTCTGGGCAATGAATTAATGCCATGTTTTGAAGCAATTACAAACACAGTGAAGCAGGAGAGGTAATTATTTCAGTTTGATGAAAGTTAAATTATCTGCGTTATCATCTTTCCAAAGCTGCTAAATATCCTGGAGTATTTTCTTGACCAAATTGTTAATATTCCTGAAAACTGAGGAAGTTATAACAATGGAATCCTATTAACTGTGCATTTAGTTAGTGGAGGAACTAAAACACTGAACACTGAAACCATTACATTTTTAACAGAAAAACTTGGTCATCCAAACTATGGATATTTTCTGGGCCTGGGACGGGTCCAAATATACTACCTGGGTATCGAACCCCCTATTACCTGACCCTACCCAAGGACACGCTGTTGGTCTGCAAATATTTGGGTACTAATTGTTTGATGGGTAAATATTTGTATTTATTTTAATTATTATTAATTTTTTAATTATTTTACCAGAGCTGTGGCAAAAACTATAATGATCAGATCATGCATACACTGAAGCGAATGAATGTGTGCATAGTCAGAAACAAATGAGAACATTAGCGATTTGTAGTGTAACCATGGAGTTTTATTGTTATTGTCTTTAAACAACATATCCCGTGACTACCGGTCTGGGTTGTCCTGGGGGTACCCGGGTCCTACTCAGGACCAACCCGTCCTGAGTACCGAGTTAGCCATACCAGCCTACTAGAATGTGTACTAATGTCTCAGGTAGCTGTGTGAGGTTGAGGGGTTTGTGCTGCCAGTCATGATGACCTATGTTCCAGAGGGGTCATCAATAATTCAAGCTACTGAGAGTCTTGTAAAAGCACTTTTTGCATAAAATACAGTCTGATTAAGAGTTTGTAAAGTTCCAATTCAAACAATGCACAGAATGAGATTGACAGGTCACACACGATGAAGATATGCTGATCAGAGTGAGTGAGTGAGTGAATGATTATTGTGTAAGGCATCAGCAATCTTGCAACTATATACAGCGACTACTATCAGAAGAAACTTTCTCCCACAACAGATGAGCCATGAATTTTCCACATTACTGACCCACAGAATCTCAAACCAGATTAAAACATTCAGATTCACAAATTTACTCTTACATCTAATGTATAATTGTCAGTACAAATTCTTGTTAGTAACAAAACATTAAAGTTACACCCTTTCAAATGTAAAAATGCATTGTTTCTGCAGCAAACCAATCTCACGTATCTTAAACTGATTGATTGATTGGAACAATGATAAGAGTTGTGAGTGTTTTTCTAAAGTTACTCTTTTTATGCTGTTTCTGTTGTCTTCCTGTAGGAGCTTTCCTGTATCGTTCACTAAGACTTTGTAATCCTCACCTTGTTTTGTTCGTTGATCCGACACCTGGCACTGAGGAGTATGCGCGTGACACCTGCATGGCCGTACCTGGCTGCTGTGTGCAGCGCTGTGTCCCCGTACTGGAACACATTAACACAACACATCACTCAAGTGCACAACATCTCACTGAAGGGCTCATCTCATTTAAAGGGTACACTCAAGGGCACAACTAAGATCTCACCAAAACCACCCACATGCAGCTCAAGAGCAAATCTAAAATAACTTCTTTGAACTAGTCAAGAAAATATTCCGGGAGGGAATGTTCTGTCAGACAGCAGTCAAAAACATTACACCAATATCTTGGTGGCCGGTCAAAATTCAGTCCATACGTTCATTTCATAATCTAAAAAAATGATTTTCTTACATATTTAAAACATCACTAACAAATCATTTATACACATATACATCTGAGATTCTTGTCTTGTTCACTCACATTGTTCTTCAGATCTGAATCACAGCCAGCATAAAGCAGCACACGGGAGCTCTCATTGTGTCCGTTCTGGGCAGCGAGATGTAGTGCAGTGAAGCCTCCCTTGTTGGCAACGAAAGTGTCACACTCATGCTTGACCAGCATCTCCACCGTCTTGCTGAATCCATTCCAGGCCGCCTCATGCATGGCAGTGTTGCCATTCTGAAACACCATCACCCATAACAGTTAGCTTACACAGTCAGTCAGTGAATGCATGACATGATGTTTGTTCCAAATTAAATCTTGCACGGGTAAATTTACAGGTAATCTAACTCTACACTGAGAAATGAGTAGTGAGAATTTAACATCATTTTCAGCATGTTCCAGCAACATTGAGGGACCAAGAATGGGCTTCACACATTGTGCACATGTATGGAATTAAACCCAGGTCTGTGTAGTGACAAGCCAATCTATTTCATTACAGGTGTATCCTGCCATGACAGTCTGGACCAGACAAACCAGTGGTTGATAACATGAACAACAATCTGTCATCATGTTCTGCTGACAAGCAGGAAGCCAGGTCACACAATAGCACCGCATAGAGCAACCCTAACAACTTTTGGGTAATGGAACTTTTCAGTCCAGGACAAACATATGAAGACTGCTTGAAATAAAGAACTTTTCCCACGTGGGTACAAACACCTTCTTTTCATAACCATAGCATGAGCCCTAATGCGAACCAACCATTAATGAGAGTTGAAAGTTGTCTCCCCTTGTGGTTATCCACACAAGTGCTTGGCCATTATCTGACTGAATGTTGAGGTGTTTGGAATCTATGACTGTCAAATCTATTAGTTTGCTTCAAGACTCAAACCCTACCTTATCCTGCTTATCAATGGCACAACCTGCCTCGACCAGAGTCTCAATGACCTCTGCATGACCTTGAGAAGCAGCTCGATGTAATGCTGTGTAACCAAGCTGAAATGAAAACAGTTTTGGATTAGGAACAATATTCGTTATGTTTCCCTCTTTTTAAATGAGAATTGTTAAAAGGAAACCTTGATTTAATAAAATATTAATTTTGTTTACCGTATTTTAAAGCACTAAATCTCTTCCTATAATGCCATGAGGCATACCACTTTGAACAGTATTTCAGTCATATCACAACATATCAGCTTTATGTGTGGGTTAAGACCAAAGTGGCCCAGGATGTAGACAATAACCACTTTGGTGAAACCCACCAGCACAGACATGGTGCCGACAGATCAAAGTATCACCACTGCTGGAAGGAGGGAAACTCGGGGGGGGGGGGAGGAGAAGAGAAACATACCTGGGATTCTTTTTACCCCAATCATCTGAGCCGTGCACCTCTAAGGGGTGTAACTAGTCACATATTTCTATATCCTTTGATTCAGTTTTCAAAAGACAATGGTTGGACTTTCACAAAAACATAACAAAAAAGTACTATAACAGTCCACAGGCATGCTGACCTCTACACACTAACGAAAACACCACCACACTATTTAACCACAAAAAAATACTTGTCATATTTATTATTATTTCTACTTACATAATATATTTGTCATAACAGAAGGCAAAGTATGTTATTTTATTTATCTTATATACATTTAATTGAAAGATTATTTAAAGAACTGTTAATAAACTAAAACAGTTGAAAAAGTTACAAGTAGAAGCTTTATCCAGTCTATCGGTAACATGTTTATGTTTACGATCTGTACGATCAGATTCTTTTCATTTCAGTACTCTCTCCAGTGTTGATCCAACGCATAGATTAAATTACCCCACACCAGGCAGTGAACAGTAGGCAGCGAACACTATCCTGTTTGATGTAAGAACACTCTCAAGGACTGACAGTGAGGCTCCATGTCCAAGTAATGATACTCTTGGCTCAAGTACATCATCTGAGGTCAATCCCAAAGTTAATCTCTTCCACACACTGGGAAACTTTACCAATGTTCCTGTGAGCAGTGTTTTATTATATTCTCAGACAACTAGATCAGGCACATTTCATGTTTAAAAGAGATCAAAAACTACATTTTGTGGAGTGATATATATGTTTTCTCTCTGAATTCCAACTTGTATTGCTTCAGATTGCTATCATAGCAGATTGTGATATTCGGAATCTCGTCCATGCATTTGTTTATGTAATGATGTTTACTGATAGGAAATCAAATAACTTTGGTTTCATGTTTCTTTTACATCTGATAAAAACTGTTCCTTATCGAAGGGGCATTAGACATTACAAAACAATCAAGTCACATCTACACAACAATGATCAAGTGAAAACAGAATACTATTCTTTCAAGGTCAAAGTTTTCACTTTAAACTCAATTCCATCAGTTAGCTGCATTTATCAAGCCTCAAGTTGGCCATTAACACCAGTCTTTGCACTTATGTGATGTTTATCTTTCTAAACTTGTAATAAAGAGATCTTTTAACGCCTCTAACAAATTCCCCCTCTCTGCAAGACATTTGGCATCAATCCCACCGACTCTTGAAAGTAGTTCCGGCAGCCGTCTGCTACCAGAGGCAGAACACTTCAGGATAAGGAACCAAAGAGTGACAGACGAATCCAGCCAATGAGAAGCCAGAAGTCTAGGATTAATAGCCAATGAGAGTAGAGATATGGTGAGAAGTTCCATGTAGAAGAAGAGTAAGTCAGACATTTAACTGTTTCCTCCCTGAATGTGTGCGTGTGGGGGGATCACAAGGGCCATGTGTTCCTGGGAGAGGCGAGGAGAGGATAGTTTGTGATGAAAGAGGTACAAGAGCCACTCTCACATCTCTCATTGAAGGCTGCATTGGCTGGGCATAGAATGCTCTTGTTTCAAAGTAGTTCATAGTGTCCATTGCTAGATTATCAGGTACTAAACTGTACTTTGAGATACAAAATGACAAAATATCTGACATTTTATTAAGACACGGCAAATGTTTTTTTGTTTGTTGTACAAAAAAATAATGTCTGAAATTAGAGAATTTTATTACAAATAATATGAAAGCAGTTTGTTACATGCAGGGGTTACACAATGCAGAAATGTGCATCCAGTACACACAAATGTGAGAATGGACACATATCTAAATGTATATTGCATCCCAAGGGGCTCACTTTCCTGTAATCAAAGTAATCACTGAACCTTACACTACAGTACACTACACCATTTCATTACTTTACAGGACCTCATATTTCCTGTGAGGATCCATGAAACCATCATTTGGAGGTCACCTGGACCCCTAGTTTTGTAGGTTACGGTAAAACCCTGGGATTGGTAATTTAGTAATTACTAAATAAATAAACATATAAATAATAAATAAACATATAAATAATAATAAATTATTAAACTAAAATTAAATTAAAATAAAAAAAATAAAACAACGCATGTAACATTTCTTCATGAACCCCCTCTCAATAATAAACAACCAGGCCCAAAATAAGGTTCTAATTTTTAAATCTTTTTGTGACCCACCCCCTTTACAGGTAGAAACATTTCTGAGTGTGATTTCCTTGATAAATAATGATTTATAGACCATGAAAAAAAGGTGAGTAAATTACTTGAATTGTATTATAGTTCAGTTTGATATCCCACCATACACTTCAGGCACAACAATACTGAAGGCAGACTTGTATGTATCAGAAATCACCACTTCCATTGTTGATGTCAGAGTGCCACAGTTTAAAAACACAAAGCCTTATAGACATTTCTAATATGTGTATTACATTAAGATAAAGTCTTTTACATTTATTCCATTCAAACAAAATCATAAATGAGTTCATGACATTCAAATAAAATATTTTCATAGAACACATTACGTGTGGCAAAATATCAATGTTTTCTCAGGGCACAAAATATGACTGACACAATAAGGGAGATAACTCTTGTTAACCTAAGTAATTTTTCCCTGCTCTTCAGCTGTCTTCATGTACTTTAGCTGAAAGTGTGACTGGTGAAGGGTCAACACAACTCAATATGACCGCTTTGTCATCTAGGGGCATTGACACTGTAAGCATACATGGAATACACAGCACAAAGACTTCAGTGCAATTAACCTACCTGATATATTCAAGGGGTAAGCTAGTTGTTATTGTGTTCAGTCATGCCAAAATCCCGAGTTTGATTTCTCAAAAATTAAATGAAATTCACAATACTTCTCTTGAATAAAACTATCACAAAATACCATACATACACCTACTCACTCCATCTTAACATGGACTACCCCACACTGAACAAATTCAACTCATATTGCGGAAAACAATATTGTGTATTGTTTACCTGTCAAATCCAAAAGTCCACCTTTGGGCATAAATATACTCCCATACAAATACTTCTTTCAAACCCTATCACTTTCACCTCATTTTAATCCCAAAGTAAGGTAAACGCAACAAGAGAAATAACTTTTTATATTATCATAACAACAAAATTTGTTTTGGCTGACTGTTATATGGAAATTAGATTTGCCTTCTCCTTGAATGCGTCAGACACACTTGAAATTTTTTGGTTTTTATAAGCATAAATCAGTCACAGTAAAAAGGCGTCCATACGACACAGGGAATTAGACCTGGTGAGCAGACAATGGGTGTAGTGTGGAACGCACCACCTTAGAGGCATTAAACATGGAGGTAATTCAAAACTTTACATAGTGCACTGCAGGGTTTGTTATTGCAAGGGTGCTTGTTGATACAAATTGTTGGAATTATTAACCAGGACAGTTTATGGGAGAACATGTTAAAGCATGTATGGAAGATTTTTATACCTTCCAAACTAAACCTTTGTGATACAGGTATAAGTAAAACAATAAAATGTCCAATATATCATTTTTAGAAACCCATTTTTAAATAACATTTTAGTTAGAGTGAGTGAGTGAGTGAGTATGGTTTTACGCCGCTTTTAGCAATATTCCAGCAATATCACGGCGGGGGACACCAGAAATGGGCTTCACACATTGTACCCATGTCGGGAATCGAACCCGGGTCTTCGGCGTGACGAGCCAACGCTTTAACCACTAGGCTACCCGACCGCCCCCATTTTAGTTAGAGACAATATAACTTTATTACGTAGGATATTTTCTGTCACATTGAAAGTTTTCTTTTAGCTGACTGATTTACAATATGGTGAAATGAAAAAAACTAAACATCACCGCTGTTCATTAGATATGGTGGTTAATATGTCTTAAATTCTTTATTCTAAAAATACCCAACAAGTTTCTTTTGGTATTGTTTTGCAATCGTATGTTCTGTACTTGTGTTTACTTCATTTTTCATTCATTAGTAGCAAATCTGGAAGTTGAAATTTTTAAAAATAACTGCCGACCACCTACATTGAAGTTTAGGTTATTTTTATTTGTAAACCATAATAATAAACAAAAGGCCTAAGCTAGATTGTTTTGTTAGGAATATTATATACCTTACTGGAGAGATTTTGAATAAGCTAAGAAAATTATAATTCTCACGGCTTATAAAATCTCATTCACCTGTCAGAATCTTTTTTAAAAATTTGTACTTGTAAACAATAAATGCTGGATCAAAAAAATAATTTCTAAGCAAACTACCTACCTATCTTCTCTTCATGCAGAAGGAGCAAAATAATTATTTGGAGGCACCATCACCTCCACACATCACAGTGGAATGACATCTAAACTACTGATCACCTCGGTGAAATGTCCCCAAACTGACAATACCACGATGATTACATTTTAGCAACACAAGATTATAGTCTTAAGGGTAACACGTTCTGTGCCGAAAAGGACACATTAACAGCGTCATGCATGAGTGATGTCCCTTGAATAGAACACAAAAGATTTTAAATGAAAGCTTATCGTACCCTGCATATCAGACTAGGGGGGCGATATGGGGCTGTAAATAACAGAGCCTGGTCGTTACGTGTTGTAATGATTTTAATCAGATATGAAAGCTAGGACAGGCACATATCGTTTTCAAACAAGGGGAAGTACATTTCCCAGTGTTTACATGGCCAAAGTAATAACAGACTAGTAGGGTAGCCTAGCAGCTACATCATCATCACTTAAAACCTACATTTAATTTCCCATCTGTGGATTAGCCCACTGAGACAAGGTTTCAAAATCTGTCATGTCATTTACTGCCAAAAGCAAAAAGGCACTCACAGCGTCTTGAGCATCCTTGTCACCATCTTGTTGCACCAACATCTTGCAAACCTCCACCTGTCCATTCAGGGCCGCATACTGCAGAGCTGTTCGTCCGTCCTACAACATACATTAATCTACTTCAGGACAACTGTCAGCATCACATCCACTAGGAGGGGAGTTCAAGCCTGCTTGATCTTCTTTACATAATGATAGAAGGGGTTAAACTTAATCAGTAAAAACACTTCATAACAACAACATAAGTCAGTGAGTGTGATGTTAGTATCTGTGTGATACTGACGTATTGAATAATCTTTCCGTCAATACAGTCACATGACATTTTGTCTCCTCATTAACTGTTCCCTTATTTCCTTCTTTAAGTATATACTTGTGTTCCCAGGAAATAGAACTCCCCTTTTCTACTTTAACATGATGTACAATGGAGAAACAAGTGATAAAATTTTCTTAGACCAAAACATTTTACAAGACCTAGTTTGCTCACCTATTATCCATTCATTACATATGATAGATGAGTATCCTATGGCTTGTGGATGAAGACATTAACTAGTCCAGCTGATCAGATCAGATCAGCCATGACTGACTCTCTCAATAGCGAGTGAAATTATGACACGGAAACCTCAGAACATAAAGTGATTGAGTATTGTTTTACGCCGTTTTTAAGCAATATTCCCACAATATCACGGCGGGGAACACCAGAAATGGGCTTCACACATTTTACCCATGTTGGGAATCGAACCCGGGTCTTCCGCGTGACGAGCAAACACTTTAACCACTAAACTACGCCACCGCCCCCAGAGCATAAAGGCCTTGTAGCATCAAACTGTCTCAGCAGTGGATTCTTCCAGTGCCATGTGGTTACATAGTAAGAGAGTTGAGTATAACAAGGATAAGCTGTACACAAAACATCAACAAGGTGAATTAGCTGTTGCATTCATCAAATACGTATGAATGTGAAATACAGAATTGCAATGTTTCCCAAAGAGTTGATAGTTGTTGTTGCAACATCCCTGCAGACAGAGTGGCTGACTGTTCATGTTGATTCAAGCAATGACAAGTATGTATGTGTCTTTTAATGATTCTAACCAGATTGTCATTAAATATGTTCCGGGTGGTTAAGGACACAAGCATCATAGGGTCGGACATTAAGAATTATCTACAGGAATTTATGATGTAAAGACTGACAGAAAGATTTATATACCTTCAAAGAGGACGAGTGAGTAAGTGAGTGAGTATGGTTTTACGCCGCTTTTAGCAATATTCCGGCAATATCACAACGGGGGACACCGTTAATGGGCTTCACACATTGTACCCATGTCGGAATCGAACCCAGGTCTTTTCGGCGTGACGAGCGAAGGCTTTAACCACTAGGCTTCAAAGAGGAAGACAAACATTGAAGTGATCTGTATTCATGACCCAGGACTTTGTCTTCCAACACACCACCATGGGGCGCAGTGAGTGAGTGAGTGAGTGAGTGTCATACAGTACCAATATCATATTAATATAAAGGCAAACATAGAGGAAGTATAGAGTGGCAGTATAAACCCAATTTGTATAGTATTTCAGCCAAAACAAGATCTGCTAGCTTAAGGTGACATGTTGATGACCTTTACCATTGACAGACCCAGGGTCACACCCAGGCCCAATCTGGAAGCGAACATTGTGTCTCGGAGTCTTAGACCATTGAGCCACCTACACTGACACCCATCATAACCCAATGTTATAGTAACCATTTCCTATGGAGATTCTAGAGAGAACCTATTTTACCTCTTCGGTACCCTAATAACGTGCTAATATTTCCTCAGGAACAAAACAGTAATATCGGACACTTTGGGATACAAGGACATGCAATCAACCAAGTCACTGAGCCTGACCTCCTGATCCATTTTAATCAACTCTTCCGACGGTTTTGTTCCATCCCAGAATCCATGCAGATTACTAGTAAATACTCAATTTGCCTCTTCTCCATCACCTTCCTGAGGCAAGGGAGTTAATACTAGGCTGGAATCATGGAGTTATATTTTGGCTAGTCAATGTATAGTCCAATGAAAATCGCGTAATGAAATCATTCAGTTCTTTATCTGCCCTGCAGATTTCAGTTGATCTGATTTGCAAAGCATGTGTACCGTCAACTATCAGCAGATATTTTCCAAATCTTTCCATGTTTTTGATGAAGGTGCTCAAGAGATTTGACTCACTTCGCGAAGTAAGACCTGTTTCATTACAATGTAGACTTTGATTATCAAACAGATCGTCTTCATTGGGTGCTGCCATTTGTTTGAAGCAAATGCTAGTGATATGAGAGGTGGAATCTGGGGGACATAATCGGTAATAGCCACTGGTCGAGCTTTGATCGAACCCAGAAATTCTGGCCTTGATTGACAAGGATGGAAAATGGACTTTTACAGTCAGTTGACTCCTTAGCCTCGGGAAGATTGTTCTCCATTGACAATAACCCACAAACCTGTTGCAGTACACATGCACTCTCCTCAAACCCCTAAAAAAGTGTTACAATGCAAAAGTCCCAACTCCCTCGACAGTTCATCCAGTAATTTCCTGATTCCATTTGATGTCATTGATTAGCGAGTGTAGGTTACAAATGACTTTAGCTTTATACAAATAAACTCCCCAATTGATTTCCCTGTAGTAGCCAAACAATGCCGGGAATGCCTGGGAAAGCTAGCCAGTAAATTACTCTGTGCGTGAGGTGGCCTTCAGTCCTGCGTAATTCTGTGCTGACTCTATATCAGAGGGGTGTGAATTCTAACACCCTGGCTGTACGCAGCCTGACACACACAGCCACATCAACTATACGTCACTCACAGCTCAGTGTGTCGCACCAATAACATTTACATTCATTTCATATGTTCAGACACCATTTTGAGTGAGTGAATCATTGGTTTTGGCCTTACGCTGCTTTGAACAGCCCACACTTGATTATTTACAGACTGCCATCATATAGCTGGAATACTGCTTGGTGTAGCATTAAACAACAAACAAACAAAAACAATAAAGGCTTCAGCAAAAGATCAGCATCGGACAAACGCTACTGAGTGAGGGCTTCTGTGTGAGTGAGTGAGTGAGTGAGTGAGTGAGTGAGTGAGTGAGTGAATGAGTGAGTGAGTGAGTTGGCCATATGATACAGTATTTCAGTCACATTACAGCGTGTCAGGTTAATGCAGAAGGAAAGACCAAACAGATGCAGTTCCTAGATGTTTACAACTTTTGTGAAATATGGTGAAGGTATGGTGCTGACAAAATTAAAAAGATAAATAGTGCTAATATGGGATTCAAACCCTGTGATCATGTGTTTTCTGGCACGCCCAATAGACACAAATCAGCACAACTCACTCCCTCACCAAGACGACTAGCCACCCATGCACCCAGCACAAATGTGTTCATGCAGTGCTAGGACTACCGTATATTGTATTAAGCTAAAATGGAATGAACGAGTTTTATACCTTTATTCCAAAGTTTATGTACATATGATTTCAACACCGCGATATAACTTTAATACTGTTAAAAGCGGCATTAAACCCAACTCAATCACTCACATATTATTTCATGGCTTGGACACCAAGAAGGATACCAAACTCAGACCTTAACACTATTTCCTTGAATAGAAGAGTGTCTTACGCTTTCATGTTGGTGTTCTTCTGATTAAACACACTCTCTACACACAGCAATAGTTCATCCATATGATGGCAGCCTGGAAATAATCAAGTTTAGACCAGACAATCCTGTGATGGATATTATGAGCTATGCCCCACACCTTTCTGGTACAATGACATGCAATCAGCCAAGTCAAGTCTGCGTCTAGTCACCTTGTATGACAAGCATAGGTATGCGGGGGCCTTTTCTAAAACCCATGAATATATTTAGACTAATCCCATCCCTAAATTCAAAAATGGGGACACAATGCATGACATGCAAGTTTTTTAAACCTTCATTTCTATGCCAATACAATTTCATGCTTGGCAGTTGGCACACAGCATTGTACCATGACATGAGCCTGTCAGCAAGCTAGCAATTACCTTTCAGAGACACATAGCACATTCTTATTCAAATAACTGAAGCAATACAACACGATTGTCTTCAAACATAAGATTTCCTTCCATTTCCATGAACAAAAGGCGTTACCATGTGGTTGTTCGATCCACATCTCACCACATAGAAAGGTCATACATATTACGCTTGTTTCATATTGAGATAAATCAGCCTGGTGCATGCCCGTAGTTGACAAATAGCCATACTGTATAATGTCCAACTGGAATGGTTCAAGGAACAAAGAAAAGTATATTTGATATGTCAAGTGAAGTAATTTCCTATGATAAATACATAATTAGTTTGATTTACTAACCAAGGACCTGTTCATATACCTGTTAATGCAAAGATCAAAAGGGTTGGTACACAGGTACGCCCCTGAAATGACAGGTAAAGAAACCAGGTGTAACTGCCCCTGGCCGTGGGGGTCAGACTCAAGACAAATTACAGTGTGGACGAGGGTTATATAATTAACAGCATTTGAACAGCGCACAGCAGGAAACCAAGGCCATAATCTGTTTTCAGGAGTACCCAAGCATATGAACTCAACTACAGTTTTGATTGCTTCATAATTATATGGTAAATTGTCTGTTTCATTTCCTTTCAGGAGCTGGATACAAAGCTCTCTTGTGTTTTCCCCATTAGAACTGCTCCCTTTCCATGTCTGAAGAATCTGATTGAATGAAGTTTGTTAAGTTGGAAATTCCAAATGTGAAAGTATTTTTTGTGTGATGAAGTTTGACATTAAGAATTATCAGAACCGTACAACAGGAATTTATAATGATTAGACTGACAGAAAGATTTATTTACTTTCAAAGAAGAGCATAAAACACTGAAGTGACCTGTATTTATAATACAAGACAGTTCTCTTTAACACAGTGCCGTGGGGCTTGGAATATCAGTAGTGACATGTATGGAACTATTGCATCAATGTACTGTGGACCTCTGTGTTGTCCATACTTGTGTTGTTTCTCATACATTTGAGTGAGTGAGTGAGTGAGTGAGTGAGTGAGTGAGTGAGTGAGTGAGTGAGGAAACAGTTGTGCATACTGTGTATATCCATGTAAATATGTCACAACTTCACAGACTGCTTATGTAATAATTAACACCCAAAAAAACTTTACAAAATTGGTTACATCATTCCATACAATAACGAAACACAAGCCCAATCCACTCCAGCAAAACAGGAAACAGTTGTCCTATAGTGGACATTTTTGTTTTGGTTTATAAGAAAAAAATGGGCAAAAATTGGTTGGTTAGCTAATCAAATGCCACCAAATCACTTGCGGTTTATTTTTAACTCAATAAACTGAAGCATATAACAGTCACCTCTTAAAAGAAGGTGTGTCATCATATCATTGTATTTGTTTCAGTCATCTCCTGTCACATATGACCACTAAACCAGGATTTGAAAATTGTTGTTTCAAAACAGCAACTATTACAATATAGTGCAAAACACACAACTTGGAATTCAGTCTTAACAGTAATCTTTTCATGATGTGCACCTGCAGTGACAAAGTAGTAATTTATGGCTTGACAGATTACAGTTGTTTTGCCAGCTATGTCCCCCCGAAGAGCTAAAACTAGCAGTGCAATCTCCAGTTGCAATAGTGACACTATTATGTAATCTATGCCCGGCATTTCCTTCAATCTCGGCCGTTCTCCAGGTCTTTACACACACATGACACTGCACTCAACTTCAAACTCAATTTAAGGTCACCCTCAGTAACCAGCCCCCTGCAACTGAACTTTGGAATTTGTACACGCGTTAAGGTTTTCACTTGGTATGTGGCGAAACTTGGTGGCAGAAAGGAGAAACATGACGTAAGGGATATTGACTGGTGAAGTTACTTTGACTTTTGTGAAAGCTCCAAACGATCAAGGACTCAAAAATAGAACTTGGTTCTTGTGTACAGACAATCTAATGTTTCACATATAAAATGAAAACCAATCTTACATGATGTTAACCTATTGATCACAAACCCATGTAATGACATTTTTAAAAGTCAGGAACCAACATATGTCATTTCTGCCTGACCATTAATGGGTACTGCCCTGACTTCTTTGTACCACTATTTTGAAATACATGACAAATATGAGTTTTCTCAACTATTCAAATTTGATAGCATCATCTAACTTCACTTTTTTTAATAACCCTCATGTCATAATGTTAAATAACTCCTGTTGTCATGTAGCCCTTGTTTATTCATAAAGATCTAGATAGGACCTAGTGAAATCAAGTAGCCCCTTCAACATGTTAGAAATATAAACCTTATTCTCTCACCATGACAGAATTATCAGAATTAAATCAATTAAAACATCCTCCAAATATGCTCTTTTGTTTGGAATTAATTGTAAATGTTCCACTTTAGGGTGTCACAAAGACACAGTTTGAGGTGACAAGACCTTGTATTTGTCTGGGTAAGGTAAAGAGTGGGATTGTTTGCCAACATGTATGCTGTGCCTCTAGTCCTGTGACTCCCTGCTCAAATCTCCAGCACCAACTGAAGCTACGTCGCACAGGTAAACAAGGCTTGTGGACATTCTCTTCTGTCAACAATCTTTGTCTAAACTATTTGATTTATGGATTCCGTGCACCATTCCATTGCTTGAAACAATGCTGTTCACAGTGGCTAATGCAATACTTTGCTTAAGCAATCAGCGGAATTCTTGACTTTTGTCACAATCACTTTATTTAGAAACTGGGAGGTTCAATACCAAGATGGGAGCAAATTTGATAGAAAAAGAATGGGAAAAAGAGAATCGTAAGGTTATATTAAATTGGCGACTTCTCAACAAAGATCCCTGTGATTGTTATTTTGTAACCCATTGTCACACACCAACACTGGTGTTTATAGCAATCAGTTCCTGACTTAGCTGTCAAGATGCTCAAAGTGGAACAGTTTTGCTAATATCAATATCCAACACAAAAGGTCTTTCAGGTTCATCAGACAGTATTTGATTTTTTGTTTCTTTGTTGTTTAACGTCGCAATCAGCAATATTCCAGCTATATGACGACAGCCTGTAAAGAATCGAGTCTGGGCCTGACAATCCAGTGATTGACATCATGAGCATCGATACACACAATTGGGATACAATTACATGCATCAACCAAGTCAGCGAGCCTGACCACCCGATCCTGTTAGTCGCTTCTTATGACAAGCGTAGTCGCCATTTACAGCAATCAGACAGTAGCCTCAACCAATATAGACAAGGGACTAGGTGACATGGGACCAACATTAAAAGAAAGATTAATATCTTTTTAACACTTGCAGATAGTATCCATTATTATGTGGCTTACAAATGTATTAATGTTGTTATTGATAAAAGTAAGAAATAATTACGTAACAGCCATGGAAAATGATATCAATTATTTTTTGCTTCAACAATGAATTCCAGAGAATATTGTTACTAAGCAGCACTTTCAGTGGGTTTTTTTTTACAGAAAAAGGACAATGGAAACCCCTTTAAACCTTTAGTTACAACAGCAACAGTGTACACTAAGGAATGCGCTAAATCCAATTACAACACCATAGGCAACAAGCCTACACATCAGACTACCTCCCCTAACAACTTTCTCATGTGTTGAAGTCAACAATACCCTAATGGCTTTCAACACAGAAACTATTCTCAGTAGGGGGCTCTCGACATTTTTACTGGAGCCATACATCACTAAATACAATCCCCTATTATAAGCTGTAGATATTATGATAAAATATCAACTTATATGACAATATTGACCCCTGACCTCAAGCCTCCTGAACACTTTCTTCAAACAGACCGTAGGTGGGAGATCACCATTATTCTGCTGTAGGTGGGAGACATACTTCAACCAAAAAGTGACACCAAATAAATTGAATGTCACAAAAAGTTTTATTACCAAATAACTATTTGATGTAGTGCTGTTTTGGAATTTGCACTGCATAACTTGGTACAATAGCTGTATAAGGTTTATCAGTGACAGAATATTGTTTTCTGCCACCTTGAGGGGGCAATACATTGCAACATTATTAATACAGACAAATTCTCAGTGAAATAATCAGGATTAACAAATTACAATTGGATGTTGTCGATAGTAATTGTTTGGGAAATCGGGGATTTGGGATTAAGAGGGTCTAAAGTAACAGAGCTTTACTGTATTGCAACAATACTCTGGCAGAAGACACAAAGAATGGGATTCACAAGCCAGGTCTCTAGCATGGCAAGCGAACAATTGGCCACCCTAACAACCCACTGACCACCAAAATGGAATCATTTATTAGCTTGGGTCACACTGTGCATGAAAACTGTTGATTGAAGTAACCCGTCTACTCCGTCCAGCACGGCTGCAGCACAAATGTGTAGGGATGCTTCTTGAGAATTGACCAACAATCACTGAACAGAAAGGTGAATGTCTGCTGCTACGTAAGCTATAAATACTGGTAAACTATGGCAATGTTAAGGCACTGGATTCCGGGAAAGGACCTTGATAACAGAATCCGTACAGCAAATGGAACTATGAGCCGACCCCTGTGCCTGAACAAAGAGGTGTGAATACCTAATCTGCCAGGGTGCAAGGTGCCCTATGTCAGGTAAACACTAACCCCTACCCCAATGGGGTGCAATGTGGGGTTAACACTTACCCTGTTGGGGTGCAATGTGCCCTACGTGAGTTAAAAACTTACCCTGTCAGGGTGCAAGGGCCCTACGTGAGTTAAAAACTTACCCTGTCAGGGTGTGAGGTGGCGCCCGCCTGAAGCAGCTCCTGCACTTTGTCCACAAGCCCCTTACTGGCGGCCAGACGGAGCTTGTCCTCCAGGGACCCCAGGGGCAGGGGAGTCCCGGGGGTAGGGGATGAGGGTGCAGCCTGGTTGGGGCCATTCATCTCTGCAACAGAAGGTCATTGACATGAACATGACGGCAAATAAATGTACCTCATCACACAAATGCCAGATAAGATTGCCTTCTTGTTTCAGCAACCCTTCTTCCAACATTTTGGCCCTGTTTCACAAACAGAATCGATGTGAGATCATATTGATGGTGGCAGACATAGCCATATGCCTACTTCATGAAATCGAGTCCCGTTGGTGATGTTCTTCATATGATAAACAGATATTGTGCACACTTGGATACAGCTAAAGGTGACTGTATTCTCATGATAGGAACTAAACCCAACAACATGACAGAAAGGTGAACATCATCTCCACTGCCCTACCCCCAAACCCATCAACTTGACCTTGACAAGTACAGTCATGTACAAAGTGACACAGCCTCCTTCTCATACATCGTATACATAATGTTACTGCAAGTGGAATCAAACTTCCTTGTTAATGTTTACGATATATCAGTTAATCCTCATCCCTACCAAACCATCCCTGTCATCTTGCAATAACATCGTACTGACACATTAAAATCCTGAACACATAAACTGTAGGATGAAACAGAACCTATCAAGACATACAAACCAGTCACATGAGGAAAACATGGGGAATATCACATTACCAATTGAGAAAAAAAATAGTTCCCTTTGAAAAGATTATGGCAAGATCTGGATCCTCTGCTATATGATTAACTGTGGAAATTTCCAGGTAAAACAATATTCTTATGTACATGGCAAACTCTTAACCCAAGGGATAACAAAAACATATTCCCAAACCATAAGTCACCAGGACTGTACATTTCTATTATTCACCGTCATGAACACCATTACCTACTGCGTGGAGCGAACACTCTTGGAAATATCCTATCACACATTAGTGTCAATTAACAGGAGACCCAACCCTGTAGATAGGCTACATGCATACAAGTCCCATTCTGCATTACCACCACTGAACCCAGACACTTAGGGTCAATATTTAAAATATGTCAATGCCAAATCCTAGTGAGATAAATAGTATCAATGTTAATCTTACAAGTTATCTCTCATTACAGATGCCTTGTAATGTTTCAAGATGAAGAGAGTGTAGCTGTATTAGCCAGGGTTTAAATGATCTTACTTTAAATACTTGGAGAAACAACCATCACGTCTTTCATTGGCATTTAGAAGTTAGAAGAACAGGAAGACAAAAAGTCTGTTTGTTCATGACAATGTTTCAGGGCAAGTTCTTCTCTGATGGAATATCCCGTTTAAGTAAAGTTTCTGTGCTACATGTAGCAGTAGAATAAATATGTTACCTTCTTAAACCAAATAACATAATTCATTCAACAGTGTCATTAATAATAACTCACCTAATCATACTAAATTCCCACATGTACCTGGCCTTGCTACCTGTCGACAGGTAATCAAGGTGTGCCTTACACAGCAATCTACCTGCCTTTCCCTCTTGCCCAAACACAGGGGACTCCAATGCGGGTAATCAAAGGTACAGTCTGCACTAAACTAACAGCCTACTCACGCTCACTAATATACCCTGAATAAATCAACAAACTATAAGCATACCTTCTAATTAGCTTCTTCAGACCTCACCAGTCTGCCACTAACGAGCTCAGGTGTGACCTAAAACGCATTGTTCCATACCCTCACAGACGCTGTTGTTTTAGCTATAAAACTATCATTAGGTGAGGTAAGGCAAAATTGATTCATCTCAAATTAATCAGTCCACTTTAATATTGGATGTCTGACCAGCACTGTCAGTTGACACCAGTCAGCGCCTCTAGACAATAGATGGATTAATCTTGTTAACCAGCTAAGAAAACACTTCATCTCTTGACCTAATTAAAATCAACATCAATCAGTGGATTAAAACAAGTTTATACTGAGGATTATGAAAACTCACAGCCATCAAAGGCATTCCTTAAATCTTCATCTGTTATTTAGTCATCATTTAGTTTTGTCTGGATAGTAATCCTGTTTACAACAAAGGGCTGTCTGAGTCAGTTATTATTCAGCAATACCTGTTGCACAATCTCAGCCATGCATCAACAGTAACACAAAAGGGATCATCCGTGGAAGTTAAATATTCATGAAGAAGGTTCGTGTGGTTCCAATTACATGACTTGCAAAATATGGATGTGCTGAGTCGACAAAAAGAGTTCTTAAAAATTCAGTGAAAAAAATTACTTTTCATCAATCTAAGAAAAGGGTTAATAAATATGCGACAGTGTCAACTTTAAACTTTCAGACAAATTAGTAATCAGAACCACATTTTAATTTCACGTTCTATCCTCTACTGGTACTTCTTTACTTACTTTTTAAAAAGAACATTATCCACACCAACTTTTTTTCCCAATCAATAATCTTATTCAAAATTATCCATCCTGTGAAAAAACACTTTCCTTCTTATTCTGAATCAAGGATCCGATAACCATCAAGAAGAAGTGAGAGGCCTCTCACCAGGTATAATCCCCAATGACCTTCATTAAACATTCTCCTACACCACAACATCAAATGACGCTTACATTAATGAAATAAGCAAATACCACACAGTATCCGAATACCTCCACAAATTATTTACTCAGCATGATCCCAGCATGTGTGTTGATGTCATGCTCCCGGCTGCCGACCGTGCTGCCTCCACCCCATACAATGGCTGGTAATGCCAGCAGCAGCCACAGCGGCAGGGACTACATCTACGTGTATTGTTGACATCCGACAACAACCACAGATGGGATGATTGAAACCAATAAATACATTCTTGCTGTTGAATTAGATGTATTGGTGCTGTTTAATTAGATGTATTGGAGCTATAATATTAGTGAAATGTCCTGAAAAGGCCAGTGTTATGTTGATGGAGGAAATGTTTGTGTTTGAACGAAGGTTTGTGGGAAAGGTGTGTTTTCCTTCTTGCGTTTGTACGAATCCTACAGCATAGTATGCTCAGCATAATACAGTCACATTAGGGCTCTGAAATATTGACACGGGTATGTGTCTGAAAACGCAACCCAGTCTCGAGTATACGATTTCAATGGTAATATGCCACACAATCAACATATTGTAATCTTTTGTCATTTTATTTTGTCTTTTCTTGGGAAGAATTGACTTGCCTTTGCATGTGTTTCTGATGGGTGCCACTCATGGGGCAGGATACTCTCACCTTTGCTCGAACACCTGGTATCATTACTATTTGATTGTGACTCATAAGCACATGCTCATGGCACAGTCAGATTTGTACAATCAACTCTGCTTTTAGCAGAGATTTCTTGTGGCTATGGAAAGGCTTGTTGCTTTTATTCAGCATCATCTACATCAAAATGCACCCAGACTCTAACAGTATTTTTCTATGTCTACCACACACTTGAGAGTTATCTCCCATGGTCAGATACTCAAGTCCTTGATGTAGGAGCCTGTCAGATCCCTTACTCACATTTTGTGAAACTTAATGTTATAATAACAAGCATGTATTGAAAACACCTGTGTAAGTTTTCTTTTATTTGATTCTCAAGGATGTTTGAAAACAAGTTTTAAGGCATTTCTTGTCAGCCAAGATTACCCCAAATTTGAAAGTGTCATCCAGAGGCTTGTACTTTGAAACCATAAAATATCTTCCCAACCAATAACTAAAAGAATCAAATTCCTATCACCCTTTAATGACGTATATTTTTTTATACGACTGCAAATACAATATGGTAACCTGACACTAAACCAGTTTATCATCGGAGAGACCCTAGCAACTGACAGCTAGACAGTGCGGTAGTCTACTACAGACCAAAGTCTTCAACTTACTTCACATAGCTAAGACTTATATTACCACATGATGTTCCTAGATGGTCACAGCTTATATCACTGGTCCTTACAATAGCAAAAATATATCAAGAATATAACAGAGCCACAAGGCTCCGTAGCTCTCCTGGACTATGAAGAAACAATTTCATGATGTTTCAACCTCATTATGTGACAAAGATAAATAGACTGTTTGCACATTGGTGCAATAGATACGAAAACAACACACACCATTATTGTCTGAAGCACTAAGGCTGAGGGCCAATTATGGTTCCTTAAACTACCTTATTGCCATTATCATTCACACAAAGTTTCAGCTTTCTAAGTTAAGTGGTCCTTGGAAATAAGATATTAAACCTATGAGCAAACTGAGAGTTTTGAACGTTAAAAGAAAACCACAGTGATTTGAGCAAAAGGTGAGCTAAAGTGTCTTCTCACACTTGACTAGGCCAGAATGCAACAGAAACAGATAACGATGCTTGCATTCTGTGAAGGTCCCATCACCTGTGGCAACAGCCACTACCGGGGCTGCTGCGCTCACATGGTCACAGTGCTTGCATTCATTGTAACAGATATGCTCAAGGAATGAAAGCAAATGATTAATTCTTAATCTCTTTCACAACTAGTAATAGTGCATTGTCATTCACAAAAAGCAGTATTATTAACTATTCATGATCAACATCTGTAGTTAAGGTGTTTTTTTCAAACTGAAGGTACATTGAATTCTCTTTATTGGCTCCTGCTATCCAAACAGTGATTAAAAGTAATAAATACCTTAAGACAAGGGTAATAACTGACATGTTTCATGGAAAGAAGATCAACTTGTACTTGTTTCAGTTTATCATAGCTTATAATTGTGAAAGAAAGTTAATCCTATCATTTACTTTAGTTTAATGTATAGATTTAGTTTCTCAAAACATGTATACTGCATTCTCAGACATTTTTTCACCAAGATGGCCAAAACCCTTGGGGACATTGGTGAGTATAGACTGCCAGGACACCACTGCTTCTTACTCATGCTTTCAGTCAGTGGATTGTCTGCTCCAGATGGTCCGTTGTTTAATGTTCTAGGTGTATGACAGGGGGCAGTAAATACAGGAATCTGAACAAGACAATCCAGTGATCGATATGGTTAGCAACTATTGCAGTCATGGCACGATGACACACAATCAACCAATTCATGGAGCCTGACAACCCACCAGATCCACACAGTCATCTCTCACGACCT